TTGACTGCATAGTAACCTTGCTTCTTGCACTGTTGTTTCAATCTGACCCACAGTTTTTGGGGTTTGAGTCTACACAACTGATCATCTCTATCATTATTTCCATGTCCTCTCTAATATCTCCTGTGTTGAAATAACTTTGTCCTGATAAATGTTGACATAAAAATGGCATACAACATCAGTCACGTTTGTGTTGTGTTAACTTGCTGAAGTATGACTGCAGAGAGATAGGAATTGTGTGTGTGGTTCAACTCTGAGGGCATGGTAAGAGGGGGGGGGGCAATGTTGAAAGCTGGTTAGTTTGTTGAACATCTGCCCTTTTAAGGGTGTACACTAGACATAATTATGTGGAAGGGATAAGCATGAGTTCCCATCGCTTCCCCCCCCCCTCCCCCCCCCCTCCCCATGGATGAATTTGACTACACACACATCTGAGTGCTCACATCACATGCCATTTATACAAGATTATAAATTCTTCATAAATGCAAATGCTGAACACTGGGGGGAAAATACATGCTGTTCGCTTTTGTTCTGCTCTAGAGATGGTGGGATGAGACCAATGTACTCTGCTCTGGAGACGGTGGGATGTAATCTTGTACTCTGCTCTAGAGTCGGTGGGATGTGATCTTGTACTCTGCTCTAGAGTCAGTGGGATGTGATCTTGGATCTTGTACTCTGCTCTAGAGACGGTGGGATGTGATCTTGTACTCTGCTCTAGAGACGGTGGGATGTGATCATGTACTCTGCTCTAGAGACAATGGGATGTGATCTTGTACTCTGCTCTAGAGACAATGGGATGTGATCTTGTACTCTGCTCGAGACGATGGGATGTGATCTTGTACTCTGCTCGAAGAGACGGTGGGATGTGATCTTGTACTCTGCACAGTGGGATGAGACCAATGTGATCTTGTACTCTGCACAGTGGGATGAGACCAATGTGATCTTGTACTCTGGTCAGTGGGATGAGACCAATGTGATCTTGTACTCTGGTCAGTGGGATGAGACCAATGTGATCTTGTACTCTGGTCAGTGGGATGAGACCAATGTGATCTTGTACTCTGCACAGTGGGATGAGACCAATGTGATCTTGTACTCTGCACAGTTTGATGAAACCAATGTGATCTTGTACTATGCTCTAGGGACAGTGGGATGAAACTAATGTGATTTTGTACTATTTTCTAGGGGCAGTGGGATGAAACCAATGTGATTTTGTACTATGCTCTAGGGGCAGTAGGATGAAACCAATGTGATCTTGTACTATGCTCTAGGGACAGTGGGATGAGACCAATGTGATCTTGTACTATGCTCTAGGGACAGTGGGATGAAACCAATGTGATCTTGTACTATGCTCTAGGGACAGTGGGATGAAACCAATGTGATCTTGTACTATGCTCTAGGGACAGTGGGATGAGACCAATGTGATCTTGTACTATGCTCTAGGGACAGTGGGATGAGACCAATGTGATCTTGTACTATGCTCTAGGGACAGTGGGATGAGACCAATGTGATCTTGTACTATGCTCTAGGGACAGTGGGATGAGACCAATGTGATCTTGTACTATGCTCTAGGGACAGTGGGATGAGACCAATGTGATCTTGTTTTGAGATCTTAATTCATGTTGATTTGTTTTTCAGGTCAAATAAATCACATCTTATAAACCTGTACATTCACAGCAGGCGTATTTGTACGCCCAACTTTCCCCATTCTTGAACAACAAACACAAAAAAACTACATCTGTAACAAACCACAAATGTAACATGATATCACTATTTAATAACAACCAACAATATCATTGTCCAGAGAGAAAGCTCCTCTGAGAGGAAAGCAAGCCACTACCCACAGGTTGCATAGTTTCGGGTGCAGTATGGATGTCTTGCTTTGAATACCAGACATCCTGCTTAGGCAAATAACTTGAGTGTTGTAATTTTGTTGAAGATTATTAGCACAGCTGAGCTTGGGTTTTATAAAACTCCTGGGACTTGGGATATTTAATATGTTTAGGTCCTATGTCTTCAATTACATTTCAAGAATACTTATACAGAAAATGTAAGTATCACACAACCCAGAATGCAAAGGTGCAAAAAAAAACAAAATAATTTTACTCCGAGAATAAAAAAAAAGGAAAAAGGATTTAAAAAGATTATGGCAGCTTTTCAGAAGCATTATTAATTTAATTAAGGCTTAATCAACACTAGGTCAATTCACCAATGTGATAAGGTGAAATCAAATGAGTTATCTCTTCCATAAGCAGAAGTGTACAAGTGTCGATGACTGTCAACTGAGGTTTGGAGAAAGGTCCAGGGATCCCATCTTATGGCCTGAGAGCATGTGCGTAGGAGAAGGTGTCTCATAAGTTTCCATACACAAACACATTTCAGTGTGTCCTTCACTCTTAAAGAACACTGCTGGAGTTATCCTTTTAAAAGTGTCGGTGATTTGTTTATTTGTCCTTTGTATCGAAACTGATGGGACACCCTGGTGGCAGATAAATATACCATACTAACTGATGATACAACTACCCAAAAAAAGCTGGGTGCGGGGTGGGGGGGGGGGGGGGGTTGCAAAGGACTCCCTTTTCACACAGAGAGACAAACTGGATGTGGTAAAATAACCAAACTTTAATGTTTGGCACAAATAAACACCGCAAGACGTAATTTGCGTAGATTAAGTGACAAAACTAAATCGTGCACCAATGCACACACACACACACAGAGAGACAAATGAAGCACGTCAAAATTTGTACCACGCAGGTATTTGTTCAAGTTAACGAGCCTTTTCCCCACTTTCAGGCGTATTGGGCACACAACATATTTTATAGACCAACTGGCACTTGGGAGGTGATGTGGTCAGTATCAAGCTTGCTGCCTTTACTTCCCAGAGCTCCACCTAGTACCCACTCAAGAGCCAAGGTCATCTTTCACAAAAATCTGGTACTGCCAGGACTTCTTCTTGCGTTCACCAGCTGTACACTCTGGCGGAAAGTTCTGGTTGCTCGTCCACTAGTGAACTGCAGTCCTGCTCCAGAACCTGAGTGTTGCATGTGCATCAGTTTTACAGATCTCATTCTCTTGAATACAGACTGTTAACTCCTTGCCTCTCCGGCAGATGCACTCCGACTTCAAAGGAAGCTCCCCAATTAGTCGACTCTTACGACATGCTTTTGGGGAGGCAGCAGGTCTATTCTTGTTTTCCCCACAATGGGGCCCCAGAACCCACACAGGGGGCCAACAATTAAAGTCTTTCGATCCCTTCAAGTTTTCTACGAAAATCATGATTTTTCTAACGACAAATTGGCACAAAAACGCTACCAACTGCTGTTTTGTGGAAATGAAAAATGAATGATATACCCCTGTGGTTGCCAGATTTATTTAGAATACACTGACCAAAACTAAAATGTAAGAAGCCACTTGATCTGATGTTTGTGACACTTGTCATGCATCATTTGCGACTTAAAAGAGTTACAGTCCACTGTGTAACTTGGTCTGAAGGGAGTGGGGAAAGAGTTACAGTCCACTATGTAACTTGGTCTGAAGGGAGTGGGGAAAGAGTTACAGTTCACTGTGTAATTTGGTCTGAAGGGAGTGGGGAAAGAGTTACAGTCCACTATGTACTTGGTATATGCTTACCTGCTGGTCTTAAGTGTGAATCCTGCTGAGCAGATTTGGAAAACCATAACTTTGGTTTCCTCCTTGACCCGGCCTAAAATGGGTACAAGGAAATGTCTTGGAAAGTAATGGTGCTAATTTGATGCTGACCACATCGCTCATCCAGAGCTGTTGTGGTGAAGCAGCTAGATGCTTGCCTTGAGCCCGTAGGTTGTAGGTTCAAATCCATTTCGTCAAGATTTTTTTTTTTTTTTTTTGCTACCAAGTCGACCCAGCTTAAAAATAAATACAGAGAAGCTAAGAAATATTGAACAATGCAGCACATCTGAAACAATAATCTAACACTGGTATATGCTATTTAATGATCAATATTTTACATCAATACTATCAAAATAGGCAACACTAGTCAACACAATAAATGGGTTAGCTATTTCACACACACAAAACAAATGTCAATCTAGACCTGTGATCAAGCAACTTTTGTACAGAAAATATGTCAATGAGTTAGGCTAACGAGCCCTTTATCCTGTTTGAAATATTTAAGTCTTATAACAATGTATTAATGTAATATGGCCAATACAACAGATATTTGAGTTCCATCATGTAATGTTTGTACAGCTCTCTTTTTATTCCAGTCAATGCAATATTTGTTATATCTCAGAATCAATGTCATACCCCTGTCCCACTAAACAGCTGTTACATTACCAAGTGTATGTAATTTCACTGTCTCACTACGACAGCTGTTAAATTACCAAGTGTATGTCATTTCACTGTCTCACTATGACAGCTGTTACATTACCAAGTGTATGTTCTATCTCTGTCCCACTACAACAGTTGTTACATTACCAAGTGTATGTCATATCCCTGTCCCACTACAACAGCTGTTACGTTACTGATCCTGTCACAATGACATGTGCTATATTACTAAAAAGTATGTTCTATCCCTGTCACACTATAAATAACTGCTACACCCCTCTATAGCACATCCGTGCACTATCCCCATCCCACTGTTATACATTTAATTATGTCCTATCCCTGTTACATCACTATGTGTATGTCCTAACCCTTAAGGCACTCAGGACCCGCTGACTGTCCCCCATGCATGTCATACTAGACGACAGGTATTAGATCCACTGACTGTCCCCCATGCATGTCCTACTAGAAGATGGGTATTAGATCCGCTGACTGTCCCCCATGCATGTCCTACTAGAAGACAGGTATTAGATCCACTGACTGTCCCCCATGCATGATGTCCTACTAGAAGACAGGTATTAGATCCACTGACTGTCCCCCATGCATGTCCTACTAGAAGACAGTAGATCCGCTGACTGTCCCCCATGCATGTCCTACTAGAAGACAGGTATTAGATCCACTGACTGTCCCCCATGCATGTCCTACTAGAAGACGGGTATTTGATCCCTGCGGACTTGCGACAGATCATCATCCAGCAATAGCAGTATCTGTAGAATGAAAACAGTAATGTATCACTGTATGCAAGCGGTGTTCTTACTTGTGACTTCACCTTTGCCATGAATAATGTCCTTGACCTGTCGGCATTCCTGCATCAAACCCTAACGCTAACCCTGAAATACATGGAGCTCTCGCTCCTTTTCAGGATCCTCCCCTACCGATACCTGAAGATGGTTCTTTTTAGGACCCTCCCCTGCCAATACCTGAAGATGGTTCTTTTTAGGACCCTCCCCTGCCAATACCTGAAGATGGTTCTTTTTAGGACCCTCCCCTGCCGATACCTGAAGATGGTTCTTTTTAGGACCCTCCCCTGCCGATACCTGAAGATGGTTCTTTTTAGGACCCTCCCCTGCCGATACCCGAAAATGGTCCTTTTTAGAACCCTCCCCTGCCGATACAGGAAATTGTCCTTTTCACCCCCCCCCCCCCTCAAATATCCAGAGGTGGCCAGTATCCCCCCCCCCCCCCCCCCCATATCCAGAGGTGGCATCCCCAGCCTAAGGTCTGCCCAAGACAGACATCGGTTCTAGCCAAACTTTAGGGATTAGGGATCGCTAAGTGAACTACAGAATACAGTGAAGTTCATATTAGAGGAACAACATTGCAGATATAGATAATCTTTTTTAGGCGAACAAAAGAAGAAGAGGAAACTAACCGTAACCCCCCCTACAGTATAGGACCTTCCGGACAAAACCCCAGGAATATACTACCAAATGTTGCAGCCCCTGAAATGCAGTGAAAAGGCTGAAAAGTACCAGTTCCGTTTTCACGGTGATAGGGTTAAGCATCCATTACAATATGATCAGTTAGCATGTTGTTTTATTTTCTAGTAATAATGCTAAAAATTTTGCTGATGTTTCCACATCTCTGTCCACACCTGTGACTTCAAGAATATGAATGCAGTTTGAAAACATAAGCTGATGAAGGCTTTTTAGTCACAATGTTCACTTGTCGTTTATGATTATCATAATGTGAAGCTGGCTGGCTCTACTTCTTGTCAGGTTTGATACCTTTTATGACATACCATGCATGCATATTTTCTTTACTGAACGCACGATGTGTTAATCTGCTGAATCCTACTCCTAGCATAATAGTTTTTTTTTAACGTTTTTGAATTTCATCACATCACACTAAGGAAATCTGGCTTGCCCAAAAGTCATTACTAATTACTGCTTTGATAGTAATGCTTTGATTAATTTTTATCATGGATATATCTTCACTGGCATCTACTACGAAATCTTCTTCTGGTACTAACTAAAAGAGTTAAGTTTGTACTTTTCAGACGAGAGTGTTATGCTGTGCTACAGAGAGACAAGGGGGAATGACAGCCCATTGCATTTGACTAGCAAGATCAGACCGTGGTAAGAAAAGTCTTGACAGTTTGACCTGGGGATTTCAGGATCCCTGTTGCACTTGCAAGTATTCAATGGGCTTCATCTCTGGTGCTCAACTCTCAACCTATTATCTGCAGTCATTTTCTTGCTTAACCCATTATTCTTTTCCTGATTTCCACCTATGCATGGATATCTGAAGAGGTGAATAACTGTAGAAGACTGATTGCCCGATGCAGTAGAACACTTCTGCTGCAAAATCCAAGCAATCATGAACTAGTTGACAAAGATTAACTTGACTGAGATCCTTTACTTCACTGGAAGATCAAAGGCAAAAAATGAAGAACAAGAAGAAGAAAGAAGAACACAACAATGATGAAGAAGAAGAAGGATAGGAAGAAGAAAACAATAATGAAGAACAGGAGGAGGAGGAGGAAGAAGAAACAACAACAAAAACGGCTATCACAAAGGATATGACATGCCCTCCTTCTAAGGTACTATCTGTGTTTATAATTACATCCCAGCTATGCCCACAATCTCTGCCTATTCATGCATTCAAACAAAGTGTGCTGCAAAAACAAGGCTCAATGACAAACAACAACAATAATTTTACAAAACTTGCTAAAGAAGAAAAAAGATAATCACAGCCGATCAAAATCAACAAAAATTAGATCTTACTTACCATGAAAGAGAAGAAGAGGCTAATGGCTGACAGGAAGTGCCACACATCATGGTGGTCGTAGAATTCCAGCAGAATACACTCCTGGTTGCCAGCCCTGGAGCCAGCTGGTGTTTTCTAGCAGAGAGAGATAATTACTTTCTTTAATTAACTGAGGGACACGGATGACTAGGTTAACAGTTAGGATATCATGCGTTGTGTAACAGATATCTGTTAGTTGGGGTTCAAACAACCCCCAATAACTCCTCTCCTCCTCAGTCAAGGAAAATCACACAAAATCTCCTTCACTGTCATAAAGTAAGCAAATTTTAGCCTACCGGGGCATCACACAGAGCGATAAACACTCGGTGACACAAAGTGCTACCATGCAGATGAGGATCACCCATGAAGAGGTTCTGGAAACCTTCTTCTACTGTGAGGTTATATTAGGGCCCCTGGCAACAGTCAGGGTGGGGCTTCACAGTAACAAAAAAACCGTATCCTAGGAGGGGACACATTTTAGTACAACTGACATAAACCACGTTTGGCACAGATGAAAAGCATCAAATGATTATTTGCCACAGAAGAGAGTTAACCTTCCTTGTCTATCCTCATCACCCTGCAATGGATTCCTCCTTTCTGTTTTGTCCAGGGCAATCCTTTCGATACTGTGTACAGAATCTAGTCCCTGCACCTCTGGTCTCTCTGATCAATGTTCACTGTGGGATTTCTCATGAAAGTCCTCACCATCTCTATCCATGCGTCTGACAAATTTTGCCTGGTTTTGGGATTTGCCCACTTGGCTTCTGGATGTGCCCAACATATCCCCATCTGCTTGTCTTATAAAGTCTTGTTAAAAAAAAAAGGATCCTTTCCCACGTCTTCAAGCGTATTAGGTATATAGGGCTAGACCGATATTTTATAGACCAGCCAGCACTTGGTGTATGATGTGGTCAGCGTCCTTTACTTCCCAGGTCTTGACCTGGTGCCAATTCAGGGCTGGGTCGACCTTGTGCCAATTCAGGGCTGGGTCGACCTGGTGCCAGTTTAGGGCTGGGTCGACCTGGTGCCAATTTAGGGCTGGGTCGACCTGGTGCCAGTTTAGGGCTGGGTCGACCTGGTGCCAATTTAGGGCTGGGTAGACCTGGTGTCAATTTAGAGCTGGGTCGACCTGGTGCCAATTTAGGGCTGGGTCAACCTGGTGCCAATTTAGGGCTGGGTCAACCTGGTGCCAATTTAGGGCTGGGTAGACCTGGTGCCAATTTAGGGCTGGGTCGACCTGGTGCCAGTTTAGGGCTGGGTCGACCTGGTGCCAATTTAGGGCTGGGTCGACCTGGTGCCAATTTAGGGCTGGGTCAACCTGGTGCCAATTTAGGGCTGGGTCAACCTGGTGCCAATTTAGGGCTGGGTCAACCTGGTGTCAATTTAGAGCTGGGTCAACCTGGTGCCAGTTTAGGGCTGGGTAGACCTGGTGCCAATTTAGGGCTGGGTCGACCTGGTGCCAGTTTAGGGCTGGGTCAACCTGGTGCCAATTTAGAGCTGGGTCGACCTGGTGCCAGTTTAGGGCTGGGTAGACCTGGTGCCAATTTAGGGCTTGGTGGACCTGGAAGCCAAGGTTATTTATGAAAAAAAAGTACAGCTCCACCCAGATCTATGACCTTCCGATCCGCAGGTAAGCGTCTAGCCTCTACACCATGGCGGCTCTCAAAGTCTTGTTATAACAAGTTGAACGCTATCTCAGCCCAATATAATCTTAAACATCAACATCAGGGGGTGTCTGTGGTTAAGCGATTAGTCGGTAATGCTAATTAATAAAAACATGACATGGTCCCAAGGAATTCTAAAAAAATATCCTTTAAAAATTTTATAACGCATTTTTGGAAAAGGGGGGGGGGGAGAAGGTTGACTAATTAGTGGTTTGATGAAATAGGATGTGCTGGGCTGAAAAGTGCAGATAAGGCGTCCAAGCTGGAAACCACAATGTGCCAGACACCCTGCTGAGGTAAAGTAGCTCCAGAAGAAGAAGCATTCATCTTAAACATGAGCAAGAGGACAGACAAAAATATCAGCAAGACAGGCAGACAGCAACATCAGCAAGACAGACAGACAGCAACATAAGCAAGATGGACAAACAGCAACATCAGCAAGACAGACAGTAACATCAGAAAGACAAACAGCAACATCAGCAAGACAGACAATCAGCAAGACAGACAGACAGCAACATCAGCAAGACAGACAGACAGCAACATCAGCAAGACAGATAAACAACATCAGCAAGACAGACATACAGCAACATCAGCAAGACAGACAATCAGCAAGACAGACAGACAGCAACATCAGCAAGACAGACAGACAGCAACATCAGCAAGACAGACAGACAGCAACATCATCAAGACAGACAGACAGACAGCAACATCAGCAAGACAGACAGACAGCAACATCAGCAAGACAGACAAACAGCAACATCAGCAAGACAGACAAACAGCAACAACTCTGACAAGAAGATGGAAGCCACAAACACTTACCTGCCAGGATGTCAGGTGCTGGAAGAAAAAATACAGTGACCCTGCCCAGGTCAAGGCCGAGGTTAAAATAACGATGATCACCAACCAACTCAACCGCTCGTGGCTAAGGCGCTGCAAACAAAGAGAAACAATGAAATGGTTGCGGTGAACACTTCACGGCAATCACATAATAGTCTGCACAGACTTCCACCTAACTGAAGAATGGATCTAACATGGTTTACATAGGGTCATGTTTAAAGTACAGTGGCACCCCATCCTGAATACGTTCCAGATCCTTAGGCTTTTATCAGACAGGTTGTATACCAAATGATTTTTTTTCCTATAAGCAATAGAGGGAGAATGAATAATCTATTCAACTATATCTTCTTCTTTTTTTTTCACCTCCATGTTGATCCTAACTATTATCTTTATTGCTTGGCTTTTCTCATTACCTTTCTTAAAAATTGAGGTTTATGATTTTTCTAAACATGCACATGGAAATTCAGTTATAGCAAGGGTTGTTCACTGAAGGTTGGAATCTAAAGGATAAAAGACGAACTGATAAGCCCAATAAATGACTGTTCGTGTTATCTGAGTCTTTTAAAAAAAAAAAAGAGTTTGGGGTCGAGATTTCTCCATTCTGAGCAGTAAACATAAAGTTTACAAACTTGTAAAAAAAGCAGTCCATAAAGAAGACTGACCTTCATGATATAAAATATACAATAAAGACTGACCTTCATGATGATATAAAATATACAATAAAGACTGACCTTCATGATGATATAAAATATACAATAAAGACTGACCTTCATGATGACATCAAATATACAATAAAGACTGACCTTCATGATGATATCAAATATACAATAAAGACTGACCTTCATGATGATATAAAATATACAATAAAGACTGACCTTCATGATGATATAAAATATACAATAAAGACTGACCTTCATGATGATATAAAATATACAATAAAGACTGACCTTCATGATGATATAAAATATACAATAAAGACTGACCTTCATGATGATATAAAATATACAATAAAGACTGACCTTCATGATGATATAAAATATACAATAAAGACTGACCTTCATGATGATATAAAATATACAATAAAGACTCACCTTCATGATGATATAAAATAAACAATAAAGATTCACCTTCATGATGATATAAAATATACAATAAAGACTGACCTTCATGATGATATAAAATATACAATAAAGATTCACCTTCATGATGATATAAAATATACAATAAAGACTCACCTTCATGATGATATAAAATATACAATAAAGATTCACCTTCATGATGATATAAAATATACAATAAAGATTCACCTTCATGATGATATAAAATATACAATAAAGACTCACCTTCATGATGATATAAAATATTCAATAAAGACTGACCTTCATGATGATATAAAATATACAATAAAGACTGACCTTCATGATGATATAAAATATACAATAAAGACTGACCTTCATGATGATATAAAATATACAATAAAGACTGACCTTCATGATGATATAAAATATACAATAAAGACTCACCTTCATGATGATATAAAATATACAATAAAGAAGAAGATTTCCAATGAAGATTGCCAGCAGGTAGCTAGCAAAGTCTGAGGGTTGAGAGATGGCTCCATACAAGGCACTGAAAGACACAATGTCATGTTTGTTAATAGTGACATGAGAAGTTGTTACTTGTTCTCTGTTTGCTTTTTCTTCTTAGGTTCCATGGACTATCTTCTTCTTCTTTCACCGGCTGTGAATTCCGGCCGAAGGTCCCGGTTAATCGTCTGCTTGGACTTTTGGCTTTTACCTGGACCTGAGTTTTGTGTGTACAACCGTTTTACTGGCTTTTGCCGTTCCCTGCCTCACAGGATGTACTCCGACTTCGAGGGAACATGGCCTCATATTTTGACAGACTACGGTATAAATGGAAGAGTGCTAGATTGTGTAAGAGTTATTTACAGATAAAGTGACTGTGGTATAAATGGAAGAGTGCTAGACTGTGTAAGAGTTATTTACAGAGAAAGTGACTGTGGTATAAATGGAAGAGTGCTAGACTGTGTAAGAGTTATTTACAGAGAAAGTGACTGTGGTATAAATGGAAGAGTGCTAGACTGTGTAAGAGTTATTTACAGAGAAAGTGACTGTGGTATAAATGGAAGAGTGCTAGATTGTGTAAGAGTTATTTACAGAGAAAGTGACTGTGGTATAAATGGAAGAGTGCTAGACTGTGTAAGAGTTATTTACAGAGAACGTGAAAGCACAGTCAGAACAAGAGCTGGTCTCACAGACTGGCTGCCAGTAACATCAGGAGTTAGGCAAGCGTGTGTTCTTTCACTTCTACTTGTTATAATATTCATGGAAAATATTAATAAAATAGACATAACACTACCAGCTGTCTATAAACAGGAGGACTTCAATGAGCTGCTCTTTGCTGACAGCCATTGCATATTTCACAGTGAGCGATAACAGCTGCAGGACCACAAAAACCAACTATACGACAGTTGCCTTAAACATCATATGAAGGCCAATACTGAAAAAAAACAGAAGTCATGAAAATAAGTAGACAGAAACAAACCATCGACATAAAGATCAAAAATCAAAGTCTGAAACAAGTGCAAGAATTTAAAAACTTGGGAAGCATCTTTACACACAATGGTAAAATAGAGGGAGAGATAGAAACGAGAATCCAACAAGCCAACAATGTCACACATCAACTTGTTCCAATTTTAAAACACCCTGCTATCCCAGTAGAGATAAAAAGACAAATTATAAATACAATATTTGTACCGACTTTAGGTTACCAGTGTCAAGACTTGGACATGGACTAAAGAACACGAAAGAAAACTAACCACCTGTGAGATGAGATGTTTGAAAATGGCTGTGAATAAAACCAGAAAAAAATCAAGTGAGAAACAACGTGATCACAAGAACTGTTGGAACAACAACCATCGTCAAATTTATTGAGAAAAGAATGAAATGGTTTGGCCATCTAATAAGAAAGAAACCAACGATGCCAGCTGCAAGAGTGCACAACATGAAAATCCAAACATCAAGACGCAGGAGAAGACCGGGAAGAAGATAGATTGACGGAGTCACTAACACCTTGAGACTGCATAACATCACGACATATCAAGTGACCGAGCGTGAGCTGGCTCGGCTGCCAATCGTCTGATGAACTGTGACGCCTAGCAGCATAAGCAGATATTGAGAAAGGAAAAAGAAATGGGTCACAATCGAAGATGTGGTAAGCAAGATGCTGTCTACTTTAACTTTTATTGATGTAAATCTTTTTCCTTAGGTAAAAACCTTTACTAATGTATTTCTGTGTATGCAAGCATAAGAATGTGCGCGCACGCATGCGCGCGTGCCTGCCGCGTACCTGTGCATGTCTGTGGATGCACATATGTGTATGGATGTGTGCTTGTGTATATATGAGTGCATGTGTGTATGACGGTGATTGTGCATGTGTGTGCTTTTGTATGTATGAGTGCATGTGTGTAGGAGGGTTACTGTGCATGTGTGTATAAGTTTAAGTGCATGTATGTGTGTGCATGAGTATGGGTGCTTGTATGTATCTGTATTTATACTATCGGCTGGAAAGACAGAAAATGCCAATGTGTGTCTGTATGAGCACGAGTGCATGTATGTATTTGTATAAGGGTGTAGGTATGAGTGTGTGTGTATGTATGTATATGTATGGGTGTGCTTGTGTCTGCGTATGTACAGTCAAATAAGAGTGAATGCGTACGTGTATATTCAGAGAGTGTATGACTGCATATATACGATGTGTGAACGCATAAATTCAATATGTAATTTTTAAAATATTATATAACCTCCTTTATTCTTCTTCTTCGATCCTTCTGTCAGAAAACATATCAGAAGGCAGGCAGCCAGCATACACTCATGGTCTGAAACATGAGTGCTTGGAAGGGCCAAAAATAAGACAGGGCTGCGTGCCCAATTTGTAACCCTTTGAAAATAAAGTTTGTTCATTTGTTCGTTCATTTCCCTAGTATCTACTTTAGTATGATTAGTTTAATGCAAAAAACTAAAACTAAATATTCTGTGATTAAATTTTCAATGAATAAGCATGGTAATCAGTTTACAAGACTGTACTCAACAAACAAGCATGTATCAATGACAAGTTCTATATACTTACAATGCCCAGTTAATGCAGTTACCCACCAAAAGCAGTATAAAACGGTTCTGTGGAGTAAAGAAAGCAACAGAAAATGTATCAAAGTCTTCTAAATTGTTGTTTTCACAATTACCAGGATCATATAATTTATTTGCCAGTGCTAAACTCACGTGAACTATCTTCACAACTACGGATCTTTAGTAAATTATTTTTAATAACTTATAGACTTGTGTAAATTACTTTTAAAATTTCCACTTTTGTCAATATTTTCCCGGTGGTAAAATTTTTTTTTTAACAAGTAGTAAACTGTAAATTATGTTCACTAACAAACAACCTTTTGCAAACTATAAATGATTGTTGCAATTATCAGACTCAAGTAAGTTATCTTTATTAGCACAATAACTAGGTAAAATATAAATTACCTTTAAATTACCACTCATTTGCAACATCTTTACCAGCTTAGTTGCAAGGAAAACATTTTTTTATTATCAAAAACAAGTGAATTATTGTCAGTTGCAGCTGATTTGAAGCAGACCATCCTGCATTGGTTGGTTTCAACAGTGGTACCAAGAGTCGACCATTCAATAAGCAATGGCAAACTACTAAATGTAAAATTTAGTAGCTCAGAAAAACCACAACGGTAAAAAATGCTGAGGTTGGTTCTGCAATGTCCTGTAAAAGATACGCAACTAACTTTCTAATATACAGGGAACATCTATGAAATAAGCAGACTTAGGTAAATTTACTAGAATAGGCAAACCATCTTTAAAACAACCAGACTTAGGCAAAACATCTTTACAGCAACTAAACTTAGGCAGAACATCTTTACAACAACTAGACTAAGGTAAATCATTTTTACCATAACTAGACTTAGGCAGACCATCTTTACAACAACTAGACTATGGTAAACCATTTTTACAACTAGAATAAGGCAGACCATCTTTACAACAACTAGACTTAGGAAGACCATCTTTACAACAACTAGACTATGGTAAACCATTTTTACAACTAGAATAAGGCAGACCATCTTTACAACAACTAGACTTAGGAAGACCACCTTTACAACAACTAGACTATGGTAAACCATTTTTACAACTAGACTTAGGCAGACCATCTTTACAACAACTAGACTAAGGAAGACCATCTTTACAACAACTAGACTTAGGCAGACCACCTTTACAACAACTAGACTAAGGAAGACCATCTTGACAACAACTAGACTTAGGCAGACCACCTTTACAACAACTAGACTTAGGCAGACCACCTTTACAACAACTAGACTTAGGCAGACCACCTTTACAACAACTAGACTTAGGCAGACCATCTTGACAACAACTAGACTTAGGCAGACCATCTTTACAACAACTAGACTTAGGCAGACCACCTTTACAACAACTAGACTTAGGCAGACCATCTTGACAACAACTAGACTTAGAAGGATAAATCTAGACAACAACTAGTGACACACTGTACTCACCGGATAAGCAGGCCGTGAGCAGCGTTTACAATCTGATATCAGAACCAGGAAGACACGTTTGAAAATGTAACGATCTGAAAAGTTCCATACAAAATAATATTTCTGTTAGTTTTCATCTTTAACAATACCTAAAACTGGTTGGTTTTCTTCTTATTTTTCTTCCTTTTATTCCTTATGGTGAAGTGATCAAGCTATTTGCCGTGCTCTCGAGATTGTGCGTTCATTTCACTGATGGCATTTTTTTTAAACAGAGATCCCTGAGGATCACCCCTGGAGCTGCGGAGTTCATGCTTTGTGCAACAATTTAAGCAGTCATATAGTGTCAGCATGCTGAGAGACTGAGCACTGAGCCAAATGGGATAGAACCCAGTGCAATGAAGTTGATTGTCTTTGACTCTAGGTTTTTATGAGTGTCGGGATACATAAGTATTCTTCTTCTTCTTCTCTGTTCATCCATTTATAACATGGCTGCAATATCTGTGCCTCTCAACCTATATATCTGACTTCTGCAGGTATTTTTTGCCCGGGTTAGCCCTCCCGGACATAAGTGTTCAGAGGTGGTTCTTTGTTTCTTGAAATACTGAAATTTTCTGATAGCTTAATTTACTTTTTATTCCCCTATGTCACTTTTTGATCTTAACTTATTGTTATCCCACTACTTGTCCAAACATGTGACTCTGTAGCCTGGAGGTTAGTGAATGTGTTTTAACAATGTCACTAGCATCAAATACAGGGGTTCTTCCCGTCTGCATGTTTCGGGGCCGCACTGTGGAGGGGGGGAAAGCACACTATTGCCCTCTAACAAGAATGCCATAAAAGTCTACTAATTATAGAAGTGTTTCCTTCGAGGTCAGAGTGCATCTTCCTGAGAGACGAGGAACCAATGATCTGCACACAAATGAGCAAGATCTGTATAATGGATGTGCATGCAAACTATCAGTTCTGGAACAAGACTAGGGTCCAGAAGTGGATGAGCACCCAGAACTTTCTACAGGAGTTTACAGCTGGTGAACGTGAAGAAGAAGATGAAGCACCAAGGTTCGATTTCTGCAGGGGATGTTTTGGACAGTGGTGTGAGAGATGCTTCCAGGACTTATGAGCTCTGCCTCTCACATTTTCTGTCCTGTTTTGTTGCCCTAGCTCCAGTTCATGCAGGGACCTCCATAAGGCATTGGTGGTTTGGTATTTGGTGTGTCCTTCACGGAGATGTGCTGCCTCCCAGAGCTGATGAGCTGCCTCCCAGAGCTGATGAGCTGCCTCCCAGAGCTGATGAGCTGCCTCCCAGAGCTGATGAGCTGCCTCCCAGAGCTGATGAGCTGCCTTCCGCAGCTGATGAGCTGCCTCCCAGAGCTGATGAGCTGCCTTCCGCAGCTGATGAGCTGCCTCCAAGAGCTGATGAGCTGCCTCTGCCTAGGATGATTTACACACACTTAGTTTTTAGAAAGTCAGGCAGGACTGTTGCTGCCCGGGGTTTAGCATGAAGTCAAACAAATGACTTTGTTTTCAAAGGGTCACAAAATGGGCATGCAGACCCATCTTACTTTCAGCCCTTTAAAATGATCATTTTTCACACAGCAATTGTATTTTATCAACAAAGTATGTTGTGATCATGAAATAATTAGCATATTATGAATATCAATAAACAACACAAAAGCATGGGTGGTAAAATGTATGTGCACACTCGCATACACACACAGAGCCATTCATTCACTTACACACACATATACATACCCAGCCGCATACATACATACATACACACACACACATCCAGACACATACATTCATAGACACACATACACAGGCACAGGCACGCACGCACGCACACACACACACACACACACGCGCGCGCGACTAGCAAATCCCCAATTAATCCCTTCTTACAGTGTGCTTGTATATTGTGGGTTTATTTTTCATCAAAAACGCGGCTTCAGGACTCGAGAGACCTCATAAGAAATGAAAATGCAAGTTCCTCTGTGTGATGAGCTGAACAAAGGCTGAGGATCACTGGTTTACTGACAACATACAGCTTGATCTCTGGGCTAACAGAAAGAACAACAGTGACCTACCTACGCTCCATCGACCCATATAGTAGACTTGAGCTGTAACGATCAAGGTCATCAGCATGTGGATTAAGGCATATATGATCCACAGGAAGCTCGCCCCATAGACCTGTGACCAGACGAAAGGGTAAAGGTCACCTGTAATGTGTTGTGTTGCCGGGTCACAGTTGGATGAGAGGAGAGGCACAAAAGTGCAAGGAAAAAATCGAACTTAAAGCTTTTAAAAACCTTATGTGGCAGCTGACATATTACATCTGAATACAGACCAATAGAAAAAAAACTAAAGAACCCGTTGCATTCTAGGGGCACATAGGGTATATGATGCAAGAATCATATTCTGATAGATCAAGTCAAACTTAATGAGTGGTGATTAATCAACATCACGCTGGCTACCTTTGCCTACAGACCAGTAGAGTTAATGCAAAATTGGAACATGGACTAAACATCTGTTGTCTCTTGTGTGTTGAGTTGAGTAAAGAATGGATATCACAGCACTTGGGGCTTTCCCAAATGCCCTCCGTCCCCATCCTCAGCAGCCAGTCAGAGTTCCAATACTTATGGTGCAGTTGTTGTCTGGTTTTATGTCTGTGTTGCCTTTCTTCTGAGCATAGTGTGCCAGCGGAATCCTCTGGTCACACATAGGTGCATCATTCTCTCCAGCCCATAATAATCTAGTTTCTCTTCTGACTTTGTTACTTGTTCCCAAAGGGCTCTGACCACATCTGCATTGTCATGCCTTCACCACCCAGCGGTGCAGATCCAGCCAGTCTGCTTGCCTGTTCATTCCCCATCACGTAAGCAGGACCTAGAGAAAAGATCCAAAGTATGCTCACTACCTGTGACCTTCCAAGTGAAGCTTGCCACTCTGCTCGAAGCATCGCTCTATGTCATCTCTTGTGTTTGCCGAGTTTAAGGATTTTTTAAGCCAAGAGTTATGTCAATTTGTTTGACTTCTTGTCTCAACTCTCACAGGTGATTAAAGCTCTCGAGTCTCCACGACGAAATGGTAAAGCTTGTCATCCTGATCCCACTGACCAGAGAAGCTGCAAACAATGCATTTCTGTCACGGCCACATTCCTGTAAAGGCCGTAAAACCAACATGTCTGCAGTGACCTGTTTCCAAGAAGTATAGTTTTAATGTCAGTGGTTCTGTTTGAGTCTACGCATCATTTACGAGGCTTAGATTTGAAAATATTTACTACTAGCATGTACATAGGTTGTCTTGTGAACCAAATTATTTTTTTTAAGCCAAAGTGGAGTCAAATTATCCTGTAGCTTCAGTGATGGAGGTCACAGGGTTACGGCATGAGTTACCCAATACATAATTATTTAGACCCCCCAGGAATGCATTCTACCTAATGCTTCATTCTGCTCCTGTTTATTCAATACCTCCTTTATTTATCTTTACAGTCCTCCCCCCCCCCCCCCCTCCATCCCCTCCAAAAAAAGAAGAAGCAAAAATGTAGACACAAATTGTTTTAATTTTTTATGACTTGTCTAAAATGTTTCTGAAGGATTTTTTTTTTCAGGGAACCATGATCCGTTTTTGTAGCATTTCCAGAGCAACATAGCTAAGCTCTGATGATCATGTATTCATGACCAAACTGTGCTGTATAATTAACATGCGCAATTTTCTTTCTAAACAAATGGGACCCCAGAATCCATATGGGGGGTGACAGTCGGTCACTTTGTGGAGAAAGATGGAGCCAGACAGGAAAAAACAGTGCAATTTAGATGATCCTCTTACCTATGGGCAACTTTGTAATGTCTAAGCCTCATTTAGGGTGGAAACAACAACAAACTCACCCCTTCCTCCCCTCCCCCAAATATAAATGGCAAATAAGTAGGGGTTTGTTGAAATTGGATGTACTGCACAAAAAGGTGCAGATACTGCAGTCGTGCTGAAAACCACAATATTTCAATTGCCCCTTTCAGTCCAACCACAGAAGAAGAAGGAGAAGAAAAGTTCACCACCTATAAACTCTGGTGGAACATTCTGTTGTTTTTTTCCCATACACTTTTAGACTTTGGCCTCGCTCCAGGACCTGAGCTTTGAGTACCCATTCGTTTTACAGTTCTGGCTTATTCACCGTGTGGGTTCCTGGCTCCCATAGTGGGGTCAACAAGAATAGACCCACTGCCTGCCCAAAAGCATGTCGTAACAGTCGACTAATTGGCAGCGTTCTTCAAAGTCGGAGCTCATCTGCCTAAAAGTCAAGGAAGCAACAGTCTGCGTGTAAATGAGTCAGACCTGTGAAACAGAGGTACACGCAAAACTCAGTTTCTGGAACAGGACTAGAGTCTAGAAGTGAATGAGCAACCATAATGTTCCGCCAGAGTTTACAGCCAGTGAACGCGAATTAGAAGAAGAGTACTGGCTAATTTGTAAACAGACTTGATTCCTTGCCTCTCACACAGATGCAAATGACTTTGAAGGTAACACCATTAATGAGTTGTCTCCTATGACAAATTTGTAGAGGGGGCAGTGGGTGTATTCATCTCCCCCCCCCCCCCCCCCACTGCCAATGGGACCCCAGAACCCACAGAGGAATATCAATAACCATATCCTTCTAACACCATGCTACTTACCACTCCAAGAACTGCAAAGAAGATTATAAGTGCCATAGTGAAATAGGAGACGTGTGCCTTGGCATTGATGTCTGGGTGTCGGGACTGGTAGATCTTCAGCATGCACAGGCAGGCAATGATGTACATGAACGAGGTATCTAAGAGTACACAATCAACAATCATGTGAGTTACTGTATTTGTTGATGTATATAAGACACACTTTTGTGTTCTCAAAGTAGGCCTTAAAACTATGCTGTGTCTTATTCAACCAAGGTAGGCCTAGACAGACTTTTGTGTACTCAAAGTAGGCCTTAAAACTATGCTGCGTCTTATTCAACCAAGGTAGGCCTAGACACACTTTTGGTGCTGTACCAAAGTCCGCATAGGACTGTGTTAAAGACCTCTCCATTCTGTCTCCGAGCCCAGAAAACCACAATGATGTGCAATATCTAGAAGCCAGCTTCACACCTGAAGAATAAAATCTAATTAATGAACCAGGTATTGATACAGTATTTCATCTAAAGACTGAATGCGATTAGGCCTAAGTTTGTCATGTTTTCTCCACAAATTTAAACATTTTACAGTCAACAGGCTGCAACCAAATAACTTATGTCATTTATGATCTAATACTGCAAAGCTGATTAGATATAATTATTCATGTTTACCGACATTTATTCATGACAACCCAGTGTCTAAAGAAGATGCTCCTACAGAACCAAATGAATCCTCTTGCCCTCAGCACACTAACAAATAAAAAAATAAAAATAGTTCACAACCCCGTTGAAATTCCATTAAAAACCCTGTAAAAGTAAAAAGGAAAAGACCTCTATCCTCTCCTTCAGGCATATGGGGCTAGACCTCTATTTTATAGACCAATCAGCACTTGTTGGGTGATGTGGTCAGCACCATGCCAGCCACCTTCAGTTCCCAGGACCGTAGCTGGCCCCCACCCAAGGCTGGGTCGACCTGGGAGCAGAGGCCATTTTTTCAACAACAAAAAATCCGGCTCCACCGGGACCTGAACCAAGGACCTTCCGATTCCCAGGCGAGCATCTAGCTGCTACACCACATTAACTCTCTGAGTCCCAAGGAACACATCATACATTTATAGGTTCCTACCTAGAGGCCCAGCGAACGCAAAATGCGCTGATTTTACGTTTCTTTTGACTACCCCTTGGGCCTCTGATGCTAAACCCCCTGGGACTCAAAGAGTTAAAACAAAAATATTACACAGGTCACTTATAAAGTAAGCAAAGAGTATAAATGCTGACACTTACCAAACTGAAAGTTGGTATAGTTTGGGCAGACATGATAGCAGGCACTCATAATCCCCTCCATAATCAAGGCCAAGCCCATGGCATAGAAGAGACCAAAGTGTTGAGGAATCCCATACTGTTTCTCCAGCTCTCCATGCCTCTGAACCACTTGCTTGTGTAGAACATCTCTGATGACAAATAACAACACATCACAAGAAATGAACAATTTATGACTCATTCTTACATCAGACTATTTAACATACACTCACGTGCAAACAAAACTACTTACACCTGACTATATATAACATACACTAACATACAAACAAAAGTATATACATAATACTATTTAACATACACACACATACAAACAAAAACACTTACATCAGACTATTTAACATACACATACACACACATACAAACAAAAACACATACATCAGACTATTTAACATACACACACACATACAAACAAAAACACATACATCAGACTATTTAACATACACACACATACAAACAAAAACACATACATCAGACTATTTAACATACACACACATACAAACAAAAACACTTACATCAGACTATTTAACATACACATACACACAAACAAAAACACATACATCAGACTATTTAACATACACATACATACATACATACATACATACATACATACATACATACATACATACAAACAAAAACACTTACATCAGACTATTTAACATACACATACACACACATACAAACAAAAACACATACATCAGACTATTTAACATACACATACATACAAACAAAAACACTTACATCAGACTATTTAACTTACACATACACCTACAAACAAAAACACATACATCAGACTATTTAACTTACACATACACCTACAAACAAAAACACATACATCAGACTATTTAACTTACACATACACCTACAAACAAAAACACTTACATCAGACTATTTAACTTACACATACACCTACAAACAAAAACACATACATCAGACTTTAACATACACACACATACAAACAAAAACACTTAATTCAGACTATTTAACATACACATACATACAAACAAAAACACTTACTTCAGACTTTAACATACACATACATACAATTAAAAACTTACATCAGACTATTTAAATTACACACACATACAAACAAAAACACTTACATCAGACTTTAACATACACATACACACACATACAAACAAAAACCCTTACATCAGACTATTTAACATACACATACACACACATACAAAAAAAACCTTTACATCAGACTTTAACATACACATACACACACACACAAACAAAAACCCTTACATCAGACTATTTAACATACACATACACACACATACAAACAAAAACCCATACATCAGACTATTTAACATACACTCATACCTTAAAGGCCATGTCCATCATCAAACCCCTTTACGTTAACATACGTTCACACAGACTACATTTAACATATAAATAAACTCCAATGATAGTGAATGTGAGGAAACTATACATTTACATTTGCATATGCAAAAACTCCTATGGTACTATGTGCCATCATCAGGTTACCTTCACATAAACATACACCCATACCCCAACTACACTATCTATTATGGAGCTACCTTTACTGTCACATACATGTAAATTCTACTTGCCTCCTGTAGACAATGAGGATGAACAAGATACCCAACATAACGTAGCCTATATTACTGAAGACATTGTTGAAGGAGCTAAGGAACGGCCGCAGTGGATGCGCACAGTTGAAGTTGTAGTAGCACAAGTCTTGGTTTCCCGAGGCATTCAGCACCTGTTCCATGGAGTTCACATTCAAACACATCAATTTCACATCAACGACTGTCAGATAACGTTTTTACATACTGTCCACTGTTAATTTCAGGATCATCTTCACAGCATGTAAGCTCGCCACAGATCAGAAGGTCGTGGGTTCGCTCCCTGGCAGAACCGGACTTTTCTCAAAAATGACCTTGGCTCCCAAGTCGACCCAGCCTTGAGTGGGTACCGGGTGCAGTCCCGGGAAGTAAAAGTGGCCGGCGTAATGCTGACCACATAATCCATCATGTGCCGATTAGTCTATAAAAATATAGGTCTAGCCCTATATGCCCTATACGCCCAAAGGCGTGGAAAAGGGTTTTTTACTTTTTTTTACCTCTCACTGCATATCCAGCATACCCATAAGTGCTCTGATCTTCTGCTAAGCAAGTTTTTTAGTGTGTTTCTGCTGAGGACTCCTGTTCTGTATGGGATGATGTCATGAATGTACGCTGCTGCATGGTTGTCTTGTGGTGCTGCTTCTATCTGTATGTCTAGACTTCACATGCAGGTCACAGAAAAAAACTATCTTTATGTTTTATCTTTCTGTGAATAACATATATTAAGAAACATACTGACCCTTCCCCCCATCTTTCTGGGTATTATTACATTGTGTTGTAGGGAGAATAGCAAGAATGATTAGGAAGACCAACTTGCATTATGAAAAACAATCATCCACTTTAGCTGCATGAGATTTCAGGACCCACTTTATCTGCATGAGATTTCAGGACCCTTGTTATCTGCATGAGATTTCAGGACCCACTTTATCTGCATGAGATTTCAGGACCCTTGTTATCTGCATGAGATTTCAGGACCCACTTTATCTGCATGAGATTTCAGGACCCTTGTTATCTGCATGAGATTTCAGGACCCACTTTATCTGCATGAGATTTCAGGACCCTTGTTATCTGCATGAGATTTCAGGACCCACTTTATCTGCATGAGATTTCAGGACCATTGTTATCATCCTGTATTAGCATGTTTCTCCTCATATTCTCAGTAGTTAACCTATCTGCAATCACTCTGAATCAAGACAAGTTTGAAAGGTTAATGTCGAGAGGATCCACTTCATTGCACCGGGTTTTATCCCATATAGCTCAGTCTCTCTCCACAGAAGGGCTAGCCGCCTGCAGAGAGCATCGCACAGAGCACGAACTCTGTAGCTCCATGTGACGATCCCCAGGAATCTCCATGAAACGAACCAACGACCTTCACAGTGCGAGGCAAATGGCTTGACCACTTCGCCATGGAGACCTCCAAAGACAAGTATAAAAGCAGTTACTTAATCTTTTATGGACTTAACCACAAAACAGAAACTGGATGCTAGGGGTGGGTGGGTAATCTTGATCAACAAGCAAAAGTATTACAATGAAAACAAACACCAATACTGCCGTGAGATGCTGACCAGCCGGGAGAGGAAAGGGGTGTGGCTGGGTGGGGGTGGGGGGGGGGGGGGGGGTTGCAGGATCTTTCAGACAGCTGTAAAAAGATATGCCAATACTAGCACAGAAACTCTAAAATGTCAGGTCATATACCTGCAGCTAGCTGAAGTTTGAAGTTTAAACAAAGAATCAACGTCATGGCACATGGGTAGTAACTCATAAGTGCTCCGTTCTTCTTCTAACTCAAGTCTGAGTCTAAAGAAGTTTAGCTCGGTGCACATGCTCTGTAGCACTGGCGAGGTTCCTGAAATACTATGGGTAGATTTTTCAACTCAAAATTTTGCCCGGGCAGCGCCGTTAGGCTACTCTTTTCAATTTCCAACTGCCAAGAGATTTTTTACGTGCAAAAAAATGCACATGGGTATCCGATCTCACTATCCAAAGATCAGGGGGGATTAGTAGAAGTCCAAGTCCACGTGAAAAAATCCCAGCTCTTACTGGTGATTGAACCCGGAACTTCTAGCACTCGAGGCGGAAACCATGCCTCGAGACCATGCAGACTTCCCCACCCCCTGCAGCTAGCAAAAATGGCATAGAAATAGAGGCAGACCAAAAAATACATGGAGAAATGAAGCTAGAGAATGATGTTACAGTTAGGGAGGAGCTTGAGTGTGGTGAAGTGTATGCAAACAGCAAAGGGTAAGAATAATCTGGTGCGAGCCAAAGGCCTGTGCTCCACTAGGGGGATAAAGGGGAACAGAACAAGAAGAAAACAAGAAGCTACCGAGTACTCACTCTCTGGTATGTGATAACAAGCTGTATAACAGGTAACCCATAGAAGATGGCAATGGTCAGCAGGTTCCTGAAAGTGAAAGTTGGCAGGAGACTGCTGTTAACATTACTTCAATGCAGCAGCCTAACATCAATGCAAGTGATCATGTTCAAATGGATAAATACAGTTAAACAAACATTAAAATGCCAATCATCATCATCATCATCATCATCAAGTCAACTAGCACAGGTGATCATAACCTGCCATATCCTGGAATCTCCAATAGCTGTTGTCAGTTTGCATGATACACCTTTCCATGCCATGACAATGGGATGTCAATAATCTTCTCTCGTCATCTTCCTCTATTTCTTTTTTTTTGGTTTAACTTTCTAGTTATCACAATATGTTTCAGTGGCTCTGTTCTGATAATGTGGCCAAAACATTCTTCTTCTTGACATTCACCAGCTGTAAACTCAGGGATAAATTCTGGTTGTTCACCCACTTCTGGACTTTGGTCTAGTTCCAGAGCATGCACATCCTGGAACCCCACATAATGAGAGCTGTTGACTGTTGGGCCAAATTCTTCTTGTTCTTCTTTCATTTGTTTGAATAAATGACCTTCTTCTTCTTTGCCTTCACCAGCTGTAAAACTCTGATGGAAAGTTCTGGTTGTCCCTCCACTTCTGGACTGCAGTCCTGTTCCAGAACCTGAGTGTTGCGTGTGCATCCATTTGACAGATCTGACGCATTTGTGTGCAGACTGTTGGTTCCTTGCCTTTCAGGAAGATGCACTCCGACTTCGAAGAAAGCTCCCAATTAGTCGACTCTTACAACATGCTTTTGGGTAGGCAGTGGGTCTATTCTTGTTTTCCCTATAATAGGGCCCTGGAACCCACACTGGGGAATAATAAATTACCTATAACTGCAAGCTGTCTCTAGTATGAACTTCAATGTCTTTTGTAATTCACTTAGCGGCCTATAAAGTTTGGCTTCAAACAAATTCTGTTTCGTAGACTTCCAGTTAAGAAATAGTGGCACCAAGACAATTTTTCAGCGAAACGCGATATTATTATCAAAATCTACACTTTATCTGTGTTTTTTCAATAACAAAGTGCCTTTTTAACAAATTCATTTGTGATGGATATTTTTTTATTGGTGGAAACTAAGTATTCTGTTGGACGAAATTTATCCTGTCAAACAACCGCAGTTGCTGTTGTGTCATAATAACAATAATGTAGCCGTTTGAACCACACTCCCATTATAAATATGGGAGTCCACGAGTAAGACGACAATCTACCCTGGCGAAATAAGGTGCTGCGCTCCCATTCTAAATATGGGAGTCTACAAGTAAGACAACAATCTACCCTGGCAAAATAAGGTGCTGCGCTCCCATTCTAAATATGGGAGTCCACGAGTAAGGCGACAATCTACCCTGGCGCTGAAGTCGGAGGCAACCAGCCAGGAAGTGCACCACAACAATCAGGATGCTACGCAACACAATAAGGAATATATCTATATCTGTGATAAATTGTCTTTGGACCTTGGTCTCTATAAAACACCTGGACTACTCATTTTAACTGTCAAGGAATCTGGAGCATTCTTCTGTTATACCACATCCTTGTGGCTTCGAAGATACTGTTGGCTCATACAATAATTGTCCAGGATTCACAGATGTTTGTTTTAAAACCTGCTCTATACAACATGTATGAATGTGTTTTGTAACCTCCAATGAAGGACTGACTGCATAAGATGGTCTTCACTTTAAAACTGACAATATTCAGTAAAAGTAATGAAAATAATACAGTGAAAAAAGCGAAGGACCTATTTCCACCGGCTGAAGCGTACAGATTAAATGATATTACCTGTATATTACAGATCAATCAGCAATTGATCAATTCAACTGCTTACAATGCCTCAATTTCTTTACTTCCAATAAACATTTCTTGATACCAATTTTTAGGCAAGGTCAATCTGAAAGTTCCCAGTGTGGGTTCATGTGGCCCTATTATAGGGAAAACAAGAATAGACCCACTGCCTACCCAAAAGGATGTCGTAAGAGTCGACTAATTGGGAGCTTCCTGCCAAGTCGGAGTGCATCTGCCTGAGAGGCAAGGAACCAGCAGTCTGCATACAAATAAGTCAGATCTGTCAAACTGATGCACCCGCAACACTCAGGTTCTGGAACAGGACTGCAGTCCAGAAGTGGACAAACAACCAGAACTTTCTGCTAGAGTTTACAGCTAGTGAACGCGAAGAAGAAGAATTTGAAAGCCAAGTAAATTATTCAAAACTGCCTTGGAAATCAATTCACGACCACGGTCCAAGAAGAGAACAGAATAAGCCATGGTTGTGCCACCCTTCTCCCCTTTTTTTTTAAATTAAAAAAGATGCAAAAAAACAAAAAAATAGGAAACGGAAAAGCAAGAGCATGGAGACAAGGAAAAGGTTGCTGCATCAGAGAGTGGAGCACACACATGGTTGGGCTAATTTTCTTGGATGTCGATATGGACAATTAAGAAAAAAAATCCATAGACCACTCTGACTGACAGCATTCAAAAACAAACAATCATACATGACTGATAAAATCGAAGACAGCAAATTGTATCCCATACCAGTGGTAGAGCTTGTATATTTTTATCAACTTCTTTGGTTTCTTCCTGGCTAGATCACTGACATATAAAGCAGTCTGAAATAAATGAAAAGAAAAATACTGTCGTACTATCCTTGACACAGAAACAGCACATCAAAACATTACATAAGCAACAAAAGTATCAGCCAGACTGAAATAACATGAGAAGTGAAAACAATTAAACTTGCAGTATAAGGTTAGTTGCGTATCCTTTACAGGACGTTGCAGAACCAACTCCAACAGCCCCTGGCTGTTGTATGGTTTTTCTAGGCATATTTACGTCCAGTAGTTTGTCATTGCTTTCTGGACGGTAGGCTTTCTTGATACCACTGTCGAAACGAACGAAAGGGGCATGGCCCGCAGCGGGGATCGAACCCAGCATCCCGGCATTACAAAGCGTTCGCATTGACTTAGCCACAGAGACGACACATGCAGTATACAACAAAGAAATATATTATCAGAAAGACACAATAAACAGCGGAACAATCGCAAGTCACTGACACAAATGAAAATGGATCTACCGTTTGTTGTCCTTATGAGGTAAGGATTTTGTATTAAAGTGTCGCGTTTATCTACTTCCTCTTTATGTCATTACTGACATATAAGACATTAAAAATCCATCTCTCCACTGCTGCCAGACACTTGATTTGCACTATATAGTTAATTACATTTTTGTTTTGTTTTTTACACATTTTTAATCTAATTTTTTTATTGACCAATTAAGCTTGCATCTGTCAATATCTTCAGTGTATCTGTCCCTAATAATGTCAATAATTCACTGCAACAACAAAAATCACATGACTGAAGCCACCTTCTTCACCGCTGTCACTACGTAGGAACCAGACTATTTCTTCTGTGTCTGAGGAAGCTGGGTTCAGAATAGCTCCAGTCAACTGCAGCATTTTACAGGACAAAGAACATTCTATGCAATCTATTTGTCAGCTGAGGTGAAAAAGAGAATTCTTCAATGTTATGTAGAGCCAACCCTGATACATGGAAGTGAATCATGGACAGTTAGCTGATCAGTGAGAATTTATGTGGGAGCAACAGGGATGTGCTTTGATAGATGTATAATAAGAATACCCTGGACACATAAAATGACTAATGAAGATGTCTTGTAAGAAACTGACTAATGAAGAGAAGTAACTACCCCCATCAAAGGAAGACAATTTACATTCTTTGGTCACATAATGAGGAGGAGAAAACTGGAGTACATCGTGACGGTGGGAAAGCTGCAGGGGAAAAGAGGCAGAGGGAGACAGAGAGATGAGATGCTGGATATTCTGACACCATGGCATGGAAGGTCATCGGTGTAAGAAACTACTGAAAGTACATGAGAAACAAGGCTGTGGATAGATGCAACTGCTAACACCTCATGGCATGGAACGAACGAACGAACTTTATTTTCAAAGGGTCACAAATTGGGCACGCAGGCCCGTCTTACATTCGGCCCTTCCAGTCAACCATCTTTCGCACAGCAGTTGTATTTTACTAATAAAGCATGTTATGATCATATGATGTTATGCATATTATGAATATTATAAAAGAACACAAAAGCATGAGTTGTAAAGTGCATGCAAAAACCCGCGCGTGCATACATACACCCGCATACACACGCTCACCCACTCACTTACACACACAAACATGCATGCATACATTACATACATACACAGATGGAAGGTCATCGGTGTAAGAAACTAATGAAAGTACATGAGAAACAAGGCTGTGGATAGATGCAACTGCTAACACCTCATGGCATGGAAGGTCATCGGTGAAAGAAACTAATGAAAGTACATGAGAAACAAGGCTGTGGATAGACACAACTGCTAACACCTCATGGCATGGAAGGTCATCGGTGTAAGAAACTAATGAAAGTACATGAGAAACAAGGCTGTGGATAGACGCAACTGCTAACACCTCATGGCATGGAAGGTCATCGGTGTAAGAAACTAATGAAAGTACATGAGAAACAAGGCTGTGGATAGACACAACTGCTAACACCTCATGGCATGGAAGGTCATCGGTGTAAGAAAATAATGAAAGTACATGAGAAACAAGGCTGTGGATAGACACAACTGCTAACACCTCATGGCATGGAAGGTCATCGGTGTAAGAAACTAATGAAAGTACATGAGAAACAAGGCTGTGGATAGACACAACTGCTAACACCTCATGGCATGGAAGGTCATCGGTGTAAGAAACTAATGAAAGTACATGAGAAACAAGGCTGTGGATAGATGCAACTGCTAACACCTCATGGCATGGAAGGTCATCGGTGTAAGAAACTAATGAAAGTACATGAGAAACAAGGCTGTGGATAGACGCAACTGCTAACACCTCATGGCATGGAAGGTCATCGGTGTAAGAAACTAATGAAAGTACATGAGAAACAAGGCTGTGGATAAATGCAACTGCTAACACCTCATAGCATGGAAGGTCATCGGTGTAAGAAACTAATGAAAATACATGAGAAACAAGGCTGTGGATAGACGCAACTGCTAACACCTCATGGCATGGAAGGTCATCGGTGTAAGAAACTAATGAAAGTACATGAGAAACAAGGCTGTGGATAGATGCAACTGCTAACACCTCATGGCATGGAAGGTCATCGGTGTAAGAAACTAATGAAAATACATGAGAAACAAGGCTGTGGATAGACGCAACTGCTAACACCTCATGGCATGGAAGGTCATCGGTGTAAGAAACTAATGAAAATACATGAGAAACAAGGCTGTGGATAGATGCAACTGCTAACACCTCATGGCATGGAAGGTCATCGGTGTAAGAAACTAATGAAAGTACATGAGAAACAAGGCTGTGGATAGACACAACTGCTAACACCTCATGGCATGGAAGGTCATCGGTGTAAGAAACTAATGAAAGTACATGAGAAACAAGGCTGTGGATAGACACAACTGCTAACACCTCATGGCATGGAAGGTCATCGGTGTAAGAAACTAATGAAAGTACATGAGAAACAAGGCTGTGGATAGATGCAACTGCTAACGCCTCATGGCATGGAAGGTCATCGGTGTAAGAAAATAATGAAAGTACATGAGAAACAAGGCTGTGGATAGACGCAACTGCTAACACCTCATGGCATGGAAGGTCATCGGTGTAAGAAACTAATGAAAGTACATGAGAAACAAGGCTGTGGATAGATGCAACTGCTAACACCTCATGGCACAGAAGGTCATCGGTGTAAGAAACTAATGAAAGTACATGAGAAACAAGGCTGTGGATAGACGCAACTGCTAACACCTCATGGCATGGAAGGTCATCGGTGTAAGAAACTAATGAAAGTACATGAGAAACAAGGCTGTGGATAGACACAACTGCTAGCGCCTCGTGGCATGGACTATAAGAAGAAGTTTGCAAGGGTCAATATGTCTGTCTAATCATGCCTTTCTCTCCATCTGTGTAGAAGGCTCTATGTAGAAGTTCTCTTCAGGACACATAAGAGATAATCAGGCTGAATTCCTTCACAATGAAAGAAATGCATGTTAACGACTAAACAAAAGCTACTAAATCTCAGTCCGTTTACAGATTTCTCCTTCTGTCAGTCTGTTTTGTCCGTGTGTATGCCTCTGCTGCACGGCTTGCAATCCTCCTCCCCAAAAAAAAAATGATGATCATTGAACAGTCTAGAATAATGCTGTCACAACAATAGGATACAATAGTCAAAACAGCTCCATTTAGATCTGAATGCCATGCATTTCATACCCCTATTCGGGCAACCTGCAGCGCTCAGACATGAGCCTTTCACTAAGGGCCTAAAGTGTTTGATTAATCAACACAGAAAAGAATTTGTCCATCATTTTATGCTTGTGGAGGGCACAACATTTTTGATTAATGATTCGTCTATCATTTTATGCTTGTGGAAGGCACAAAGTTTTTGATTAATGATTTGTCTATCATTTTATGCTTGTGGAGCTACTGAAGAAGAGATTGGAGCACCCATGGATAAGTCTGAAGTGTTGTGGTGATATTCATCACTAATCCCATGTGGAGAGTGTTGTGACGAGATGCCAAAAAGGACTTAGCACGTAAGACTATGGCTGCAATTGACATAGAGCAGAGAAATCTTTTCACACTATATCAGCACCTGATCCTGTCAGTGGTAGATTATGGCCTGGGACTGCTTACCGTCGCAAAGAGTCAGATGGACAAACTAGAGAGCATACAGAACACGGCTATGCGGGTCATTCTGGGTTGCACCAGAGACACCCCAGTGGTGTGTATGCGATACATCCTTGGTTTGCTGACGGTTGCAGGTAGGCACAAGGTGATGCAGGTGAAGTCATATCTCAGGGTAGCTGCAAACACAGACCACCCTCTGCATGAAGCCCTGGGTGCAGTTAAGGGTCAGCGGCTGATAAGAGGGAGGTCATGGATGGCTCAGGCAGAAGACACAATCAGACAGGTTTGCATCCTTGAGAACATTAGGCGACGAGAGGAGTGGGTCAAAGTGCCACCTGAGCAGTCAGACTTGTGTAGAGTCATAATCACGCTGAGCCGGAAATGCAGAGACTGGCCAGCAGGTGCCGCAGAGGTGGAAATTCAGCAATTAATTCAAGATAATGCTCGCTCGGAGGATTTGATCATTTACACAGACAGTTCAGTGTCAAGAGGCAAAAGAAGTGCTTGGGGTTTTGTAGCAAAAGTTAATGGTCGACGTTTGGTGCAGGAGAGCCTAGCATATGATACCACAACATCCAGCTTAAGAATGGAGGTGGAGGTGGTCACTGCAGCTTTCCGCTGGCTAGAAACATGACAAAAACACATTGTAATTGTAACTGATTCAGAAAGCATGCTGAGGAAGATCAGAACAGGTATGCTTCGTGCAGAGTGGCATGCTTCGCTGCGGAGGACACGAGTGAGGAGTAGTGTCTGGATTTTTTCACCGGGTCACGCCGGTGTGTTGGGAAATGAACAGGCGGACAGACTGGCTGGCTCTGCAAAACTTGTGGAATACTGCTACGTGATAGGGTAGATGTGGTTAGTGCCTTGTGGAAGAGCGTGTACAATGCGGAGGAGCAGATGGATCACCACAGTCTGGTGAGATTGATGCAGTTGGGAGTGACGAGAGGTTCTGGCAGAAGCTCAAGGCTCAGAGGAAAGGCAAGACGGACGTTTAATCAGAAAGCTACTGGCACCATTAGTATCGGAACTCTTCGCTGGCTGCTGAAGATGGTGACAGAGCGCTTATGGGAATGCCCCGAGTGCTGTAATGTCGGTTCTCGAATCAAATCAAATCAAATCAATCCTATTAACATTTACCACAAGCAAAATGAATTAAACAAGAGGTGGGCAAAACAAACATATAAGATGCAAACCTTTGTTCTGACGACTTCCTTTTCTTCCTCTGCATCATTTAAGAAGTCAATACTGTCCTCATCCAAGTCGAGAGACAAGCTGGAAGAGTCTGACGAGTCAGTCTGGCTAGCCATGACATCATGCAGCTCTCTTCCTGGTTTAAGGTGACAGAAAACATAACTAATCACTGGCTTTGCTAAGACTCCTCTTCTATGTTATCAAGGGAATTGATGGTGGTTAGTGCACAGCTTACCAAGGCAGTGGTCTCAGCTCAATCTTCAGCATCAACAGGTTTATTATTTCCATGGTGTGTGTGCGTGGCATCCCGATTGCTGTGGTGCGCCTCCTGGCTGGTTTCCTCCGACATCAGCACCTTGTTTTGCTAGGGTAGACTGTGATCATACTCGAGGAGAGTAGGCTCATCCATTCGTCTTTCGCCTTTACCTCGTTTATTGTCCCATCCAGTTTCCCGCTGGGGGTTGAGACCCCAACCTTCAACTGGATTGCTGGGAAGAACAGGGTCCACCACGTGAAGGTGAGGTAGGCTTGAGCAAGAGAGGCTAATAGACATTAAGAGTCTTGTATTGCGCATCATTGCTCCATTAGGACCCCAAGGACCCCCATTCAAGATAGGTGTATCAGCCATGTGCAGCTGTGGAAAGGTGTCCCAGACAGCAGAGCATGTACTCCAGGACTGCACCGACTTTGACACATTAAGGCAAACCTTTTGGCCAGAAAGAACAACAGTGCAACGTAAACTCTATGGTCACTGAATGAACTAACAACGACAGTGAAATTTATACAAGAGACAAAACTGTTTATATAGACAACTTATTTCAGGCGAACGAAAGAAGAAAGAAGAAGAAGAACAGGTCTATTGTCTCTCTAACCAGTATAGAACTGGGATTTACTCAGCCTCAAAATTAAGTATCTGATCAATGGACTGTGACATGGGAGAGAAATGGTGACTTGGAAGAGAGACTGTGACATGGGAGAGAAATGGTGACCTAGAAGAGAGACTGTGACATGGGAGAGAAAAAGAGACCTGAAAGAGAGACTGACATGGAAGAGAAATGGTGAACTGGAAGAGAGACTGTGACATGGGAGAGAAGTGGTGACTTGGAAGAGAGACTGTGACATGGGAGAGAAATGGTGACCTGGAAGAGAGACTGTGATGTGGGAGAGAAATGGTGACCTGGAAGAGAGACTGTGACATGGGAGAGAAAAAGAGACTTGAAAGAGAGACTGTGACATAGAAGTGAAATGGTGACTTGGAAGAGAGACTGTGACATGGGAGAGAAATGGTGACCTGGAAGAGAGACTGTTACATGGGAGAGAAATGGTGACCTGGAAGAGAGACTGTGACATAGGAGAGAAAAAGAGACCTGGAAGAGAGACTGTGACATGAACGAACGAACAAACTTTATTTTCAAAGGGTCACAAATTGGGCCCGCAGGCCCGTCTTACATTCGGCCCTTCCAGTCAACCATCTTTCGCACAGCAGTTGTATTTTACTAATAAAGCATGTTATGATCATATGCATATTATGAATATTATAAAAGAACACAAAAGCATGAGTTGTAAAGTGCATGCAAAAACCCGCGCGTGCATACATACACATACATGCATGCATACATTGCATACAGGCATACATACATACATACAAACAATCATGCATACAGGCATACATACAGGCATACATACATACAAACAAACATACATACATAGATACAAACATACAGGCATACAGACATACATACATTCATACATACATACGTAATACAGGCATACACACATACAAACATACAGTCATAAATACAGTCATGCATGGAGACACACACATGCACACACGGACACTCCCACAGAGACACACACTCACTTAAGACAAAAATACAGACACACACACAGATACTTACATATAAACACACACAGAGAAACACACAGCACACATATTTACATTCGTGCTCACACACTGACACACACACCACACACACACACATACGCAGACAAACATGCAGACACATACATGGAAGTGAAATGGTGACCTGGAAGAGAGACTGTGACATGGGAGAGAAACGGTGGCCACGGAGTGAAACGGCCACCAGGCAATGCAATGGAGACCAGTGAGAGAAGCTGCGACAAGGGCGAGAACGAATGACCAGGAAAAGAAATAATGACAACAAAGAGAAATAATTACCACAATGAGAAATAATTACCACAATGAGAAATAATAACCACAATGAGAAATAATGACCACAAAGAGAAATAATTACCACAATGAGAAATAATTACCACAATGAGAAATAATTACCACAATGAGAAATAATTACCACAATGAGAAATAATTACCACAATGAGAAATAATTACCACAATGAGAAATAATTACCACAATGAGAAAAAATTACCACAATGAGAAAAAATTACCACAATGAGAAATAATTACCACAATAAGAAATAATTACCACAATGAGAAATAATTACCACCATGAGAAATAATTACCACAATGAGAAATAATTACCACAAAGAGAAATAATGAACACTAAACTCAGTAGCTCAGGCAGCAGAGCCATAGACTTCAATCCATATGTGAAACTGCATTAGCAAAGCACTGTCGAAATCAAGAATAACTTCGAAGCTAAACATTCTGGCATTCTGCGTTGCATTTTCCATCAGAGCGACATTAGTACCTACGCTGATGTAGATTGAGCACAGATGACCAGCTGCACTACCCTCCATCCTTTTTTCCCCCCAATTGTCACTATATCTGTATAGCCTGACAGATACCAATGAATATCAAAGGTCGTGCTGTCTATGTACTGTTTCACCTTGTTGGAACAGGCAACATTCAATATCTTGTCCGAGTATGGCAGTGCCACGTCTTTGAGGCCAGCTCCTGTTGTCATTCTGGCTCTGAGCCAGATATAAGAAAGCGATCTGATCCACTTCATCGTAACCTGTTTTTTCTGGTGCTAGCCAGACATGTTTGGTCACTGCCAACCACATACAGCAGTGTCGCTGTGATGTCAACTAGGCGGACCCAACATCCACACTGAGATGAGTGTTACGCTTACATACACTGTCCTACAGTATCACAGGCAACACTGACACATCGCTATTTGTATATTTACCAAATTTCTTATGAAAAGCACTGATATTTTGTTACACATACTGAAGGTCGAGAAGAGAGTGCTCAACATCCTGGTGCGGTCATTGCGCACCAATCCTTCTTTATATAAAAGTAGAAGATGCACTCCAGAAGTTCATTCCGTTTGTATTTTCCCCACACACAATAATGTTTGGGAGTCTGTTCTCTTTGTGTCTGGGCCACCTAAGTCTTTTATAAACTTAGCAGTCTGAGAAATCTGCGGGCTTTTGTTGTCATTCTTATAGCTCAGTCTGTGATCTTGTCATCAGATGCCAACTATTTCTAAATCTGCCAGGAAGGATACCAGGAGAATGCCAGCTGTCAAATAATGCCAACATTCCATAATGATTATGGCTGGACTTACCGCGACTAACCTGTGCCATAGTTCCGTAATTGCCAGATCTTGGAGATGGATTCAGTAAGTTGTTTTCTCCTCCTTAAATGAAATAATTCACATTAATGTCATTGGAACATATGGTCAGCACTCTATTAAGTGTATTTATAAATGCAACATTTCACATATAAAACCAATACCCTAATAACTGTATATCAAACATTTTGTTATATAACCCAAACCCTAATATTTGCATATTTAGATACTGTTACACAATCAATCCCCTGTTATTGGTATATTATTATGTTACAAAACCAATCCCCTAATATTTGCATATCAGACATTCCATTACATAACCAATCTCCTAATACTGCGGGCGTATGGGTAGTGGGTAATGAACAGGCAGACAGATTGGCTGGATCTGCACCACTGGGTGTTGAATTGATTCATGACAAGGCAGATGTGGTCAAGGCCCTTTGGGAACAAGCAACGGAATCAGTAGAGAAAGAAGATTATTATTGCCTGGAGAGAATGAGGCACCTGAGTGTAACCAGAGGGTCTGGCCAGCTCACTACACTCAGAGGAAAGGCAAGGTGTACATAACCAGATTATGACTGGTACCATCAGTACTGGAACTCTGCGCTGGTTGCTGAAGATGAGGACGGAGCACACATGGGAATGCCCCGAGTGTTGTGATGTCAATTCTTGACTCAACTCAACTCTCGTAATACTGGTATATAAGAAATTCTGTTACATAACCAATACCCTAATATTTGTAGAGCAAACATTCTATTACATAAACAAGCTACAAATATTTGCATATCAGACATTATATTACATAACTAATTCCCTAATACTGGTATATCAGACATTCTGTTGCATAACTAATCACCTAATATTTGTATATCAGACATTATATTACATAACCAAGCCCCTAATATTTGTATATCAGACATTATATTACACAACCAAGCCCCTAATATTTGTATATCAGATGTCATATTACATAACCAATCCCCTAATATTTGTATATGAAACATTCTATTTAATATCTAATCCCCTAATATTGGTTATTTCAGACATTCTATTACATAACCAAGTCCCTAATATTTGTATAAAAGACATTCTATTACATAACTAACCCCCAATATTGGTTATATCAGACATTATGTTACACATTCCTGACAGATGCAAGAGTGATACTTCAGGCACTCAAATCTGGAGAATTACCAGGTATTTGGAAATTAATCTCTGACATGGGCAACTGGTGTAAAGTAGCTATGCAATGGATACCATTCCTCTGTGGAGTTCCAGGAAATGAAGGAGCTGATTGATAAACTAGCTAAGGAAGGTGTATATGAAAAACAACCTGACGTGATAGTCTCTTATCAACAGAAGAAGAGAATAATCATATCATCATCAGAAAGCCACCAAAACTGACACAAGACGATTACCAGTTTATGGACAGATCAGAGCAAGTCATTGCTCTACTCCTTAGAACAGGATACAGTTGACTTTGCAGCCATATGTACAGAAAGTTTAAGATTGGCGAATCAGCTATGTGTTCATGTGGATTAGTACCTGAGACAACAAATCATGTCCTCCAAGACTGACCCAGGTACAACATATCAAAGCAAAACTTGTGGACAAGAGAAACACCGGCGCAAGCCTAGCTTTATGGGTCGCTGAGTGAATTACAATAGACACTGACATTCATACTAGAGAGACTTGCAGATATAGATAATCTATTTCCAGTGACAGCAAGAAGAAGAAGAAGAAGATAACCAAGCCCCTGAAATTTGTAGATCAGACATTCTATTACATAACTAATCACCTAATACTGGTTATATCACACATAACTATTTACTTAATACTCGTACATCAGATATACTATTACAAAACTAATCCCCTAATATTGGTTATATAAGACATTCTATTACATCATCAAGCCCCTAATATTTGTTTTCCAGACATTCTATTACATAACTAATACCCTAATATTTGTATATCAGACATTCTGTTACATCACCAACCCCCTAATATATTAGACAATATATTGATATTTTAATGCTCTGTCAGTAATCCAAAATACAATCAAAACTGTAACACACTATCAATATGTGTGTATGTGTATGCGCGCGCTCGCACACGCACGCACACACACACACACACATATATGTAAATATTTATAGTCAATACTCTAATATTCAAATATCAGCCAGAATATACAAGTATTAACATCTAGATTCATGAAATATTAATCAGTTTTGAATAAAAGCACCATTAATAACATCCAAGAGACATCTAACACCCATGGATTAGCCAAAAACAAAGAGGTATTAAAATAATAAAATACAGGGAGTGCTAGCATGCTTGTTAAGTGTACGGCTGGGTGTATGCGTTTGTGTGAGTGTGTGTGCAAGAGTACGTCTTCCTGTTCTGCATCTATCCTTAAAAGGGCGGCTGACCCACTGTGTTGTGGTTTACAGCTAGGCTGAAATATAAGTGCCTTTTGAGCCCAAAACATTCCATTTTAGCAACACCCGTAATGGTCCCCCATTTTGGCCTAATTTCAGAATATTATTGGATTTTTTTTTTAATGTTTAAAGAATATTATGGGATGTAAAGGCAGCCAGCGTAATACTGATCACATCACCTATTTACTGCTGTCATATAAAAATTTATGGGGCTAACAAATATTTGCTTCAAGGCAATGGGCACTGATTTGTTATTTTTTTAGTTTCACACGTCTCCTTGTAGGGATAGCAGGCAGGCAAATGTGTTACTGTAGCTCTTACAGGTGCGTGTGTGAACGCAGGAGTGAGAGAGAAGGAGAGACGACCGACACAGACAAAGAAAGAGAGAAAAAGAGAGAAACAAGAGACAGAAAGAGAAAGAGAGACAGAAAGAAAGGGAGAAATAGAGAGACAGAAAGAAAGATGGAGACAGAGACAGAGAAAAAGTTAGTTGGAGAGAGGCAAACAGAAGAAGAGAGACAGACATAAAGAGAGACAGACAGAGAGAAAAAGAGAGAAAGAGACAGAGAGAAAGAAATAAAGAGACAGAGTGACATACTCAAAGAGAGACAAAGAAAGAAAGAGAGACAGATAGAAAGGGATACAGACAGAAAGTGAGAGACAGAGATGCAGAGAGAAAATGAGTGACAGAGAGAGAAAGAGAGAGAGGAAACACATGATGAATACACATGATGCAAAACCTGTTAATAATATAACCAAAAAGTCCTTTTTTCAGAACCCACAATGCATACAAAATAGGGGAAGGTTTAAAAACATACAGCGAGGACACAGAGAGAGCTGTAGAAGCTAGGCAAAAGATATGAGGGCTTTGCATGAGCTGGTTAAAGGCCAATGCTCCATTATTTGTTATTATTATAAAAACAGATATGGAAGAAAAAAAATGCAGAAGAAAAGCATACAGGTTTGTGAGCCTGTACATAAAATTTTTAATTATGCACGCAAAAACATAGAGTTAGCAAAAACACTCGAAAATTGAATTCAAAGTTTTGCCCAGGCATACAAAGAAACAAAATTAAACTTAATAAAAGCTTGTAAAAAGACATTAGTGAGATGGAAGCTGATGAATTAGTAATTAAAATTACATCAACAACAGTGTTAGCTACAAGAAGCACAACTAACAATGGAATGAAAGCCCCATCACCAATCAAAGTGAAATAAAACCTTGTGGCTGAGACAACAGCTTGGCTCGCTCTGAGTTCCTTGACTGAGAGGCCAGTTGTGCCCGTGGAAAGTGTGGATTGATGTGCACTCGTAGGCTTGCTGTTGGATGGAAACAGCTTCTATTTGTATACACAACCATGGTCTACTTACAGTTTTACTCCAACACAAGCTCAACACAACAGAACATGTAAATATAGCCCCACTTCTTCTCCTTTGTTTTAACCGGATGTAAACTCCAGTGGAAAGTTCTGGTTATTTGTCCACTTCTGGGCTTTAGTTTGGTTTCAGAAATGGAGTTTTGCATGCACATCCGTTTTACAGATCTGGTGCATTTGTATGAAGACTATTGGTACTTTGCCTCTGAGGCAGATGGACTGATGGACTCCACCTTCGAAAGATACCCCCAATTAGTAGACTCCCACAACATTCTTGCTGTGGGGGGGGGGGGGGGGTGGGGGGGTTCCCCACAATAGGGACCCAGAACCCACACGAGAAGTTATGTCTCCAATACTGTTCACTGATACTTTAGCTCTGCACAACTTCTCTGTGCGTACATGTGTCTCAGCATGTGGGGGGGGGGGGGGGGGGGGGTGACAGAGAAGAGGAATGAGAGAGACAGACAAAAAGATATACACTCTGAGCTTGTTTACGGACGTACAGCCCTGTAATAATGCCATGACTCGCACAGGTTTGTGTAACTATGTCCTTATTTCCATAAGTATAGTTTAGCAAATGGAAAATTCTACAGAATCTACAAATGAGAGAATTGCATAATTTGTTCATCTTGTTATCAACAAAAGCAAATTAAACATAAGGACAGCTATAGTGGTGCAGTGGCTACATGCTCGCCTGCAGATTTGAAGGTCGTGGATACGGAGTCAGATTTTTTCAAGCATAACCTTGGCTGCCATGTTGATCCAGCCTTAAATGGGTACCAGGAAAAGTCCTGGAAAGTAAAGGTGGACCACACATCCACCAAATGCGGATTGGTCTAAAAATATAGGACGAGCATTTTATACCCAATATGCCCAATTGCATGGAAAGGAGTCTTTACCAAACTGAATATTAAAAAAGCATAGGAAGGGGGTTAAGGCAAACACACATTTGAAATAAAACATGAAACCGTAGGCATATAAACAAACAAGGTCAAATATTTTAGAATGATTACATAAAAGGAATGAAAAGTATGGTGACCAAAGGGCTGTTTGCAGCCACACACGTACACACACACACAAAAGTTTGGATTTTCCAGGAAGTAATATTTCAACGTATAGATCACAAACACGGGGGATGGCTAAAATAAATAACAATAAACTATACAAATTCATTTACTAGAATGAATTATTTAGTGTGACTGGATAACTGTCCAGACTTCAATGAGAGATACAGTGCATTAGAGAAATGAATTTTACAATATTTTATGGAACATATCTTTTCCAAATGAATGTGAGAAAGGGTTCTAAACTTAATCAAAAAGCACAATTTAGACAAAAACACAGACATGATCTGAGACTCTGGTCATCCCGTGCAGCATGATATCATTCTCTCTCTCTCTCTCCCTCTCACTCGACCTTCCTTGTTTACTCCAAGGAAAAGGTAACACCAATAAGTGGAACACAGAATGCTAAAAAAGCTGCCAGATCAGAAGAGCAGTGCTCTGTCCGCCTATCAGGGCTTCCCGCCTAGACCAGCCACCAAACAAGCTGCCAGATCAGAAGAGCAGTGCTCTGTCCGCCCATCAGGGCTTCCCGCCTAGACCAGCCACCAAACAAGCTGCCAGATCAGAAGAGCAATGCTCTGTCCACCTATCTGGGCTTCCCGCCTAGACCAGCCACCAAACAAGCTGCCAGATCAGAAGAGCAGTGCTCTGTCCGCCTATCAGGGCTTCCAGCCTAGACCAGCCACCAAACAAGCTGCCAGATCAGAAGAGCAGTGCTCTGTCCACCTATCAGGGCTTCCCGCCTAGACCAGCCACCAAACAAGCTGCCAGATCAGAAGAGCAATGCTCTGTCTACCTATCTGGGCTTCCCGCCTAGACCAGCCACCAAACAAGCTGCCAGATCAGAAGAGCAGTGCTCTGTCCGCCTATCAGGGCTTCCCGCCTAGACCAGCCACCAAACAAGCTGCCAGATCAGAAGAGCAGTGCTCTGTCCACCTATCAGGGCTTCCCGCCTAGACCAGCCACCAAACAAGCTGCCAGATCAGAAGAGCAGTGCTCTGTCCGCCCATCAGGGCTTCCCGCTTAGACCAGCCACCAAACAAGCTGCCAGATCAGAAGAGCAATGCTCTGTCCACCTATCTGGGCTTCCCGCCTAGACCAGCCACCAAACAAGCTGCCAGATCAGAAGAGCAGTGCTCTGTCCGCCTATCAGGGCTTCCCGCCTAGACCAGCCACCAAACAAGCTGCCAGATCAGAAGAGCAGTGCTCTGTCCACCTATCAGGGCTTCCCGCCTAGACCAGCTACCAAACAAGCTGCCAGATCAGAAGAGCAGTGCTCTGTCCACCTATCATGGCTTCCCGCCTAGACCGGCCACCAAACAAGCTGCCAGATCAGAAGAGCAGTGCTCTGTCCACCTATCAGGGCTTCCCGCCTTGACCGGCCACCAAACAAGCTGCCAGATCAGAAGAGCAGTGCTCTGTCCGCCTATCAGTGCTCTGCCCGCCTAGACCAGCCACCAAACAAAAGTGCCTGCAAGTAAAGGAATCTTGTCCCTACCTTTTGGCGAATTGGGCATATTGGGCTAGACCTATATTTTATAGACCAACGACACTCTATGGGTGATGTGGTCAACATTACACCGGCCGCTTTTACTTCCTAGGACTTTACCTTGTATCCATTTCAAACTGGGTCAACCTGGGAGCCAAGGTAATTTTTTGAAAAACGACCATCTCTGTCAGGACTTGAATCCATGACTTTTGGATCCGCATGCGAGTGTCTAGTCACTACACCACGGCAGCTGCCGGTCTGCACTGTTATAACATTAAGTGTTCAGGCTGCATTTCCTCTTCCTAGGATAAGGCTAGTATAAGAAGGCTATTAGGCTCCTAGGCCTGATGCTGTTGGCACAAGTGGAATGACAGGTTTGGTATACACCAAGCCACGGCACCCACAATATGCTGGAGAACACATAGCACTGATTAGTTATATGGAAGCTCAGTCATGTCTGACCAAGATCTGAGATTGTATATTACACACGGTCATATTTGTATGTGTCCACTCACCTCTTTCTTCTTCGGTGAGGTCATCTAAACCTTTGTGAAGTCCACTGTAGAAAACACAAAAACAATAGCAGAATAATAACTCCAAATGTAAAACATACACAAATGGCACAGCGGGCAGTGTTCTAGGCTTCCATTTTAGCAGTCCTAGTTCAATGGCCAGGACAAACAAAACAGGATATTTTTTCCCCAATCTGCGAGTCTCTGGGGTTGGCCAAGTGAAGCCAGACACACACACAAAATAGGTATCAGACAAAATCCACAACCATCAGGGAATAAAAGACAATTAGGAAGAGAACTGGTCATAACCCATCACATACTTTCTCAAGCTGAATATTTTCTTTCCCTGTTTTCAGCAGAGGATGTAATGTGTAATGCCAGTTTACAGCATGGCTGTGATATTTCTGCTGTTCGGTCCCAAAATTTGGCTTCGTCAGGCATAGGAAGGATGCAATGTGTAATGCCAGTTTACAGCATGGCTGTGATATCTCTGCTGTTCGGTCCAAAAATTTTGCTTCATCAGGCATTTGTTGCCTGGATTAGCCTTCCTGAGCATAAAACATGATAAGACATGACACTTCACTCCAAGTGGCTCCGTCTGCTTCCGGACTAATGTTAACTTGTATACTTCTTCTTCTTGTCTAGTTCTGTATTGCCTTTCAGCATCAGGTTTTGAAAAGGAACTGGGTGAAAGCCTTGGTATGAGCTAAATAGGTGCTGGTGTTTCTGGCTTCGGATATTCCATGCACTGTTTATATGGCTGACCTCTGTTTATATGGCTGACCTCTGGCTCTGCTTTCATGTCTAAGTGACTGTGCTCTCTGTGGTGCACTGTCTGGTTGTAGTCTTCACGCATGTCCAAACCATTTGATCTGCTGTCTCTTGATGTAGTTTAACACTGGTTCCATTCAAAATTCTTCCCTGATTTCGTCATTTTTTAAATCCTGTCTCTTTGTACCTTTAGGATTCAGCGTAGACATTTAATTTCTGTAGTTTTCATTTTTCAAAATTTCTTTTGTTGTTAATGTCCATGTTTGGCACCGGTAACACAATGTTGGAACTTTCTGTATCGGAACTGTTCGCTAAAGATGGGGGCTGAGCGCTAATGAGAATGCCCCGAGTGCTGTGATGTGGGTTCTTGAATCAAATCAACATAATGTTGGTATTAAAAAAAATACTGTATTCAATAGTGCTCTTTTGGTGTCAACTGTTACAGCTAATACTTATTTATTTTCTTTTTCTTGGTGTTCACCAGCTGTAAACTCTGGCAGAAAGTTCTGGCTGTTCATCCATTTCTGGACATTAGTCTGGTCCGATAACCTAAGTGTTATGTGCATGCCCGTTTTACAGATCTGAATTATTTGTTTGCAAAGACTGTTGGTTCTTTGCCTCTCAGGCAGATGCACTCCAGCTTCGAAGTAAAGCCCAGTTAGTCGACTCTTAGGACATGCTTGTTGAGGGGGCAGTGGGTCTCTTCTTCTTCCCCACAATGAGGCCCCGTAACCCACATATGGAACTGATTTTATAATACAGTATATCATCATTATCATCATCAGGTGCCTTGCCGACTGGCGTGGGCAATCATGCCTCTCTATAATCCACGATCTCCTGCAGCATGTATCAGTTCGTGTGCTGACACACCTCCATGCCATGCAACAAGACTGTCAAAAATCTTCTCTTGTTGTCTTCCTCTATCCCTCCTTCCACAGATATTTCCAGTGGTCACAACATGTTTTATTTTCCCTCTTCTCATAACATAGCCGAAAAATGATGACTGTCTCCTTCTGATGTCTGTGATAAGTTGTCTTCGGGCTCCCGCCTCTTTCAAAACCTCTTGGTAGCTCTTTTTGGCTGTCCAAGGTATTCTAAGCATTCTTCTGTAAAACCACATCTCTGAGGCCTCCAGAAATTGTTTGGCCTGCCTACCGATTGTCCAGGATTCACAGCCATATGTTAAAACTGGATGTATGTAGCAAGCAAGAATTATTTTTCTAACTCTCAATCCAAGGATATATTGCACAAGATGTTCTTCATTTTATAAAATGCAGTTTTTGCCTGTCCTATTCTATTTCTTATCTCAGTTATGCATCTTCCATCTGATGTTATCCATGTGCCCAGATACTTATATTTCTGTACTTGTCCTAAAATAACACCATCGACTTTTATTACACATTTAGGAATAATTCATATCTTTGATACCACCATTACTTCTGTCTTACCATTATTTAAACTGAGACCCATTCTTCCACTTTCTAACGCCACAAAGTCTATCATTATATAATACTTTTATATATAGTACAGTAGTGGCCAGACACCCACCTGCCAACCCAAAGGTGCGAGGTTCAAATCTGCTATAAGGAGAATTATTTTCAAAACTGACTTTGGCTCATAAGTCAGCCCAGCTTAAAATGGGTACCAGGTAATGCTCTGGGAAGTAAATCTGGTCAGTGTGATGTCGACTGAGCTACCCATAGTGCTGTTCACATATAAGTCTAGCATCATATACCTGAAGCACCACATGGGTAAAAAAGAGCCCTTTACTTATTTTACTTCATCCTTATGTGGGTTTTGAGGCTCCCTTGTGGAAAGGGGGAGACTGACCCACTGTTCCCCTGACAAGCCTGTCATAAAAGTCAACTAATTAGAGGTATTTCTTCAAAGTAAGAGTGCCCCTGCACTTGACAGGCGAGGGGGCAATAGTCTGCAGAAATAAGTCAGATCTGTACAAAGATATGTGCATGCCAAACTCATGTTCTGAAGCAAGACTAAAGTTCATAAGTAGAGGAACAACCATAACTTTCTGCCTGAGTCTACAGCTAGTAATTATGAAGAAGACTTTACATTACTATTACAAGACTGGTCAGGTCACTGACACAGTGTACAATCCACACACCTGTTGAATATATTGATACTGACCATTTGATATCCTTAAATAACAGATGCATTTTCAAAAGCACTAGCTGATACTGTGTTGTATCAATGACTGGGTTTTCTGACTTACCATCCAGCGAAGACAATACCGATGATGAAACTGATGAGATAAAAGAGAAGAAGGACTCCTATGGCAGCAAAGATAGCCTTGTAGTACTGGGAACCTGTAAGAAAAAAACAACTCTTGTCAAAATACACACCAAAAAAAAAAAAATGTTAACAAAGACAGGTTAATCTATTTACATGGTCTTATGGTATATTTGAGGCCAGATTTTAAGTCAATATTTTCCATATTTGAAGTATTAAATATGGCCAGCATAACTCTAGCTAGTATCTTTTTCTGGTTCGCCTTTTATGGACAGCTGGTACGTTGTGGTTCATGGCCAGGCTTCAATATCTGCGCCATTCGGCCCAACACATCTGATTTTGACAAACACCTAACTGGTCTCCTTTTACGGCATGCTTGTAAACTTGCTAGGCAGCAATGGGTATATTTTTTTCCCCCCAAAATGGCATCCCAGAAACCACGCAGGGAGACTAGTACCAATCTGGCAAGTAGGTTTTTTAACCAGAGTGTTATTTATCCTACTACTAAAAAAGCCCTAGCTGACAGTGTGTTGTATCAATACTTGTGGCACCCTATTGTTGCTACGAAGAGGTGCAAGTTCTCTACTGCTGCTTCAATCAGGTGCCTTCTCCACAGTGAAGGTTGACTGCAATGGATCTCCAACGTGCTCCATCTCTTGTGCTCGTTGTACACTCTCTCACATTGCTGTTTGTCCATCTTTTGATGCTGTCCTCCCACACGTACTGTTGCCTACCTCTTGCTCTCTTGCCCTTGACTTTTCCCTTCAGTAAGGTTTTTAAAAGTAATGACTTTTAATGTGGCCAAATGTTTCAACTGCATCTTTTTTTATTTCGCTCAGTAATACTCTTTTCTTTCATATTGGACTGTTTTTGTTTCCGTGAAATACAATCTACTCTTCTGTATATCCACATTTCCAGAGTATCAATTTGATTGTCTGTTAGATTTTCTACAGCTGATACAGTGACCAATAGAGAAATTGAGTAGCTGTTTGAAGTCTTTGCATTTTAATTATTGATGATGACTCATTCAGCTGGAAGTCACTGTGGCGTTGGCGGCTAGATGCCTGCCTGCGGATCGGAAGGTCGTGGGTTAGGGTCTTGATGGAGCCAGACTTTTTTCCCAAATAACCTTGACTCCCAGGTCGACCTAGCCTTGAGTGGGTACCAGGTGCAGTCCTGGGTAGTAAAGGCAGATGGGGTGATGCTGACCACATCACCCACCAAGGGCCGATTGGTCTATAAAAATATAGGACTAGCCCTATATTCCCAATAGGCCTAAAGGCCTGGAAAAGGGACCTTTCTTTTTTATTACTTATTTAGTTATGTCTTCAGTATGGATACTCTTCACTGGTTGCTACCTGAAGCAAAGAATAGTAACACTGCACCCTAGCAGGCATGCCGTAAGAGGTGACTAAGGGTACAGTTAGGCCTGGAGTTGGCAACTTCATCTTGAAAAAATGATAGGCACAAAGAGAAACAAGAAAAACCCAGCCAACCAAGATGAGGGAAGGCTCTTCCAGTAGAATTATGACACGGTGCAAAGAAAGTCAAAAGGAGTCCGGATCTTTCACTTTGGAAAATCTGCAGAACTGGCACCTGAAATATTAGAACTGTGTACGATGTAGACAGAAAAATAGAGGTAATAAAGGGAAATGAAACATTACATGATAAAGGAAGACAAAAAGCACATGGAGAAGGGAGCCAGACAGTTAACCAGATGGGGAGGACATGAGGAGAGCTGCATGCGACGAGGCATAGAACGACTTCAAATGAGTTAGTTGAGGGCCTATACCCCATTGAGGGATAGAAGGTTGAATAAGAATGCCATAGTTATATGCCAGGATGCATTATTGTAAATTAGAGTAAGTAATTATTCCACTTCCACTTTAAGTATATTAGGTATGTTGTACTAGTCCAGTATTTTACAGAAGTTAGTCTTCTTCTTATTCATTCTCACCGGCTGTAAACTCTGGCAGAAAAGTTCTGGTAGTTCATCCACTTCTGGACTTTGGTTCGGTTCCAGAACTTGAGTTTTGTGAGCACATTTGTTTGGCAGACCTGGCATATTTGTATGCAGACTGTTGGTTCCTCACTCCTTATGCAGATGTACTCTGACTTAAGTCACCTCCTACAACATCCTTTGTGTGTGTGGTGTATGTGCGTGGTGTGTGGTGCATGCATGCGTAGGGAGTGTGTGTGTGGTGGGGAGAGGGAGGGGTGCAGTGGGTCAAATTTATTTTAACCCCAAAATGGAGTTCACAAATCCACACAGGGATTACACAAGTACAAAGAGGATTCAAACTATAACAGAAAAAGGTGAGGGAGGAGGGTAGTAGAGGCGGAGGAGTGAAAGACTTCAAATGTTACTGACTTGGCAAAGTTCCCTTGATTTCCACTGTGATGGTTTTAACAGTCTCAGAAACAAGATGAGGAGGCACTATCACACTGGGCTCTACGTATCTCTCACAATCTCTGTTGTCTGGCTTCACAATGAACACAACATAGAAACCTCCAAGTGTTTCAAAATCACTTTTCTGCAACAACAAAATAGTCATCATTATTGAAGGTGATGCTTTTTTTTTTGCCACAACAAAACTTCTTTGTTCACCAGCCGTAAGCTCTGGCAGAAAGTTCTGCTTGCTTGTCCAATAAGACTTTGGCTTTGTGCCAGGGCCTGAGTTTTGCTTGTACATCCGCTTTACCGGCTTATTTGTGTGAAGTCAGTTGCTCTATGCCGCTTGGGCAGATGCACTCTGATTTCCAAGGAAGCTCCCTATTAGTCACGTCTGATGGGGAGGCAGTGGGTCTATTCTTGTTTTTTCCATGCTGGGACCCAGGAACCCACACAGTGACTACAACAAAACAGGAAGTAATCATTACTGTAGTTTCAACCACTCTGATGGTCAGAAAAAGAGTAATTGTTTGTGATGATTTTAAAAGCCAAACATTTTCCCCTGAAAGTGTCTCCACATTGTCGTGGTGGGGGAGCTTGTGTTTCTCAACTACCCTGAGAGCTACCAGAAGTGTCTCCACCTTGCTGTGGTGGGGGAGCTTGTGTTTCTCAACTACCCCGAGAGCTACCAGAAGTGTCTCCACCTTGCTGTGGTGGGGGAGCTTGTGTTTCTCAACTACCCCGAGAGCTACCAGAAGTGTCCCCACCTTGCTGTGGTGGGGGAGCTTGTGTTTCTCAACTACCCTGAGAGCTACCAGAAGTGTCTCCACCTTGCTGTGGTGGGGGAGCTTGTGTTTCTCAACTACCCCGAGAGCTACCAGAAGTGTCCCCACCTTGCTGTGGTGGGGGAGCTTGTGTTTCTCAACTACCCTGAGAGCTACCAGAAGTGTCTCCACCTTGCTGTGGTGGGGGAGCTTGTGTTTCTCAACTACCCCGAGAGCTACCAGAAGTGTCTCCACCTTGCTGTGGTGGGGGAGCTTGTGTTTCTCAACTACCCCGAGAGCTACCAGAAGTGTCCCCACCTTGCTGTGGTGGGGGAGCTTGTGTTTCTCAACTACCCTGAGAGCTACCAGAAGTGTCTCCACCTTGCTGTGGTGGGGGAGCTTGTGTTTCTCAACTACCCTGAGAGCTACCAGAAGTGTCCCCACCTTGCTGTGGTGGGGGAGCTTGTGTTTCTCAATGACCCCGAGAGCTATACCAGCGGCAGCGTAGCTACCAGCAGGGCCTTCCAAGACGGAAAGGTCAAAGATAGAGAACAGACAAAGAGAGACACCCTGGTCCTCCAGGTTGGGAGTTGAAGCGTGCGGCCTTACTGAAAAGAGGAAGGTCTTGAATGGTGCAAGCTGAAGAAACAATTAGATATGTGTGCAGTCTTGATAAATTTGGGTGAGGAGAGGAGTGAGTCAAGGTGTCTGAGCAATAATCTGACTTGTGTAGGGTTCTAATCACACTGACTCTATGTGGTAGAATTACAGAATGTTTAGATAATTAAATAAATCGATGCCTGGAACAGTTTGGGGGAGGGGGAGGGGTGGTTAAGTTTACCCCTCCAGATCTGCAATGCAAATCCCAGAAACCCATTAGCTACATGATGGCAGTTATATCGGGGCACCATAAAACAGTTACCTGGTAACCTGAAGTCCAAGATGGGTGGGTTCTGATGAATGTGGGTTTTCAGGAATACATACACATATATATGGGACATGGGTTTTCAGGAATCCATACACACATATATGTGACAGATGGCAATAATCATATAGCCAACTATCCCATACTGACAAAACAAATGAAAAAATAATAATTATCACCACATTAAACACAGTTCCGACCGTCTTACCTCTAAAAACATGGCTGCCTGTGTGGACATAGTTTGATGTCGACCACTGAACTCTACATTTGTTTCCAGGTCAAAGACTGGACACTGAAAGTTTATGATGCACGGAAAGAATAACATAACAATTTGATAATAAACTATAAAAATGATGTCTGGAATTATTGTCATAGTCAAGACTGAAAGTTCATGCATCAGTGAAATAATAACAGAAGGTTTAGATCATGAAATAAATCTATGGCTAGAGCTATTTTCCTAAAGTCACGTGTACATATGTGGGTGAGATTGAAAGTTTGTGAGGTAGCCAAAGAATTTCAGAATGTTTGAAAAAATACATGCCTGGAACTATTTTCATAGTCTATTCATTTGGCGCAAGACTGAAAGTTCATGCATTAGTGAAATAATAACTGAAGGTTTAGATCATGAAATAAATCTATGGCTAGAGCTATTTTCCTAAAGTCACCTATGTGTGTGAGTTTGAAAGTTTGTGAGGTAGCAAAATAATTATTGAATGTTTTAATAATTAAATGGCCATTGAGTTAATCGTATGTGTCGATTCCTCCCCACCAAATATATGGTTGACCCATTCCGTTTCTGGGGACAGCTTTTATCAAGTTTGCTCTCTAGAAAGTTGCAGTCCCCTGCTGGCGAGATTCTGTCTTCTCGAGTGGACCGCCACGATCAAAACATTGTGAAGGCAGCGTGGTCGAGGCTGCCAAAACTATCAGTCATTATCCCTCCCCAACATAGCACAACCACAATACATGCTGCTCCGACAAAAAACACATAGTATCCTGCGTTGGAAATGCGCACATAATAGCGGTTCATGATTATGAAAGAGAATAATCTGAGAGAATTGACAGCCAGCAAAAATAAACACAGCTGCTATCCGCCATTTTGAAAACGGAAGTCTAATAATGAAATAGATCCATGTCTTTTACCTCTCCAGATTTACAATGCAAATCCTAAAAAACCTGTTCAGCCATTTAGCCACATGGCACTGTTATATTGGGCCACCACAAAACGGTTACCGGGCAACCTTAAGCACCCAATGTGGGTGGGTTTTGATGAATGTGGGGTTTCAGTAATATGTACCAACATGGGACAAATGACAATAATCAAGCCTTAGGCATGCAACCTTGAAGCTCGTACATGCATGCCCACACATACACACTAAAATTAGGATAGTGAAATAATCACAGATAACCCTACCTTAATTGTCTGGACGGAGACGGTCATGCAGGTGTGAGACGCAGAGCTGACTTTCAGCAGCACGGAAGACACATCAGTGGGGAAGGTGTACATGTAATAGACGGGACGAGGCGCTGTGACGTTGAAAGTTCTGGGAGTTTCATGGCTGAGGACGATCAGGAAAAGTACACATGATGAAAATGTTACATCACAGAAACTTTAAAATTCTCATCATCACAAGTCTTCTTGTAGGGCCTAGACATACATGGCTCTTCGTTACAACTGCTCCGTTATAGTCGCTGCAGACAGGTCATCCTATAACTGCTCCGTTATAGTCGCTGCAGACAGGCCATCCTATAACTGCTCCATTATAGTCGCTGCAGACAGGTCATCCTATAACTGCTCCATTATAGTCGCTGCAGACAGGTCAACCTATAACTGCTCCGTTATAGTCGCTGCAGACAGGTCAACCTATAACTGCTCCATTATAGTCGCTGCAGACAGGTCATCCCATAACTGCTCCGTTATAGTCGCTGCAGACAGGTCATCCCATAACTGCTCCGTTATAGTCGCTGCAGACAGGTCAACCTATAACTGCTCCATTATAGTCGCTGCAGACAGGTCATCCTATAACTGCTCCGTTATAGTCACAGCAGACAGGTCATCATATAACTGCTCCATTATAGTCGCTGCAGACAGGTCATCCTATAACTGCTCCGTTATAGTCGCTGCAGACAGGTCATCCTACAACTGCTTTGTGCCAGTGGCAATCACACAAAATGTCCATCACTGTCCTAATTTTTTTTTTTTAAATTGATGAATAACATTTTACAAAAAATCTTAAATCTTGAAGCTCGTACATGCAAAGTAAATGCATAAGACAGCAGTCAGATGTGCCAAAACTAACCAGCTTCCATCAGAACTGCAGCTCACTACAGACACAAGCACTAAAATCATGAAAGCTATCACTGCACATGCAGTACAATGAAGCAGCCATTTAATAGCTGTACACAACTATCTTCTTTAGGAAAAGCTATTTTCATATTTAGGGGACACTTACTGTTCCAATTATTTACAGACACTCACCTGAGTTCAAAGTCATTCAACACAGTGGCTGTTAAATTGAAGCCTACACTAGCAGGCGACATACTGGACACTGTGATGTAGATGAGCTGATGTTCATCAATGTCTTTTCGTCGGGTCTTGTCAATGGGACACAGTGTCCTATTAACTGAATAGTAGGAGTAGCTGCGGAAAGATCAGATAATTACAAATATATAATGGCAAAAACTTATTAGTGTATACATTTCACATGCAATATCATATCTCAATTGGTGTCTTATAATATCTGCCCTGCTTAGGTGAAGAGATGCCCTCCATGCAGTCTTTGTTAATGTATTCTGTTAATGTATTCTAGTTCTCAATGCTAACAGAGGGACAGTGACATTTGTGATGTCTCACTGAATAAAAGAATGTACCTTGAAGTACATAAATGAGGGAAACAGAAAAGTGGAAATGGTGTGTCTTTACCAGCATAGGTCTCCAGGTTACAGCTGGCTGCATTATGAGAGCCCTAACTAGAACTTCTGTGGAAGTTGAATGGGGTCTCTGGGATCTGCCTTGTTTGTCTGCCGTCCAGGGTGTGATTTTTAATTTTCAGGATGATTTGGTAAACCTTTAGATAGCAGCCGGGAGAGGACAAAATGATTGATCGATCAAATGTAGAAATGTGAATATTCTTCTTCTTTACGTTCGATTTTGTATGCTCAGACAAGACCATCAGATGGGTTGTCTCTATGAGCTCGCATGTCAGCTGCAGGTCCTTCATGGTTACCCACAGCTTGCTCTGCACACTTTGCTCTTGAGGCCAGGTGTTTTCTGAAGTTGTAGGTAGAGCGGGCAGATCTGCAGAATGTGCTCAGGTGTTTGTGGTCCTGTCTGACAGGCACACTGTGGGGACTGTACAGTCAATTTATGCATGTGGTAGTCGAGCCTGCAGTGTCCTGTTCTTAGAAAAGAAGGAATTTTCTTAGAAAATTGTTGTATGCTGCTTTCTATTGAGACTGCTGATGGGGTCTTGTGGATGTTTACTGCTGCTTTGTTCTCTCCACAATTCCTTGTACTTTCCACTGATAAGTGTTTTGATTTCTTGTATAAATGTAAACATAAGCTAAACAAATGGTTTCGGATATAAAAAGCTGGATGTCTAGCTTCTAGTTCCGTAGTAACTGATAGTAATGTGTGGATCATCAGGAGACTGCTATTAAATAGCATGTCTTTTAGCTTTCTGTCTTACACAAACTTTGCCGTTTCCAAAATCAGTCATCACCACTGAATACCTCCTGCTGTGATTCAGACATCAAGAGTATTTTCATTGAGAAGCCAGTGAGGTTTACAGGCAAAACTGAAACCTGAAATACATCTTGCTAGAAGCACTCTTGTTGGATCTACACAGCACCTCCCTTCAACACTATCAGATCCCTTTTGTTAACTTTCTGTAGGGTCTTTTGCATAGCAGGAAAGCATTTACTTGCTAATTTCACAAGGTAATTTAAGCCATAACAGGTAAATGATCCATCTTCTTCATGTTCACCGTCTGTATACTCAGGTGGAAAGTTCTGGTTGTTCATCCACTTCTGGACTCTAGTCCTGTTTCAGAAACTGAGTGTTGCATGCACATCCATTTCACAGGATTTAACTAATTTGCATGCAGACTGTTGGTTCCTTGTCTCCAACTTCGAAGGAAGCTCCCAATTAGTCGACTCCTACGACATGCCTTTGGGCAGGCAGTGCGTCTATTCTTCTCTATTCACATGAGGAGGAGAATGATTCAATATGGCTAACACTGAAGAAACTGGGAAGAAGTTAGCAAACTGGTTCCCTTGAACATCTTCATGTCCATTCTTCATTCTTCTCTGGCAAAAAAGTTACGGTAATGTAAATTCACCATGAGGAAAAAACACAGAGCCAGTTGGTGAATTTCATTTTCTTCTTCTTCTTCTTGTTCACCGGCTGTGAATTCCGGCGGTAAGTCGCGGTTGTTCGTCCAAAATGGACTTTTGGCTTTTACCTTGACCTGAGTTTTGCGTGTACATCCATTTTACTGGCTTATTTGTTTGCAGTGCTCGTTCCCCGCCTCTCCGGCAGATGTACTCCGACTTCGGAGGAAGACGTCAAGCCTATTTCTAGGTTGACTGTGGCCATTGTTTTGTGTGGGTCAAGATGTTGCCTCATTTGTGTGGTGTCCTCTTTGACTTTTAACAGGTGTGGCCCCCGGCATGTCGTCCTTAAGGCAGCTCTATGTAGAGTTTTCAGCCCTCAAGGGAAGGCAGGGGCAGATCATAGGCATTCCCCGCCATCCAAGGAGGCTTCCATAAATGCAGAGCCGATACATGATGCTCTGGTTCTGGGCTCACCCAAGAAATCGTCACGTCCTGCCCATGACTGCTTAACCTCACAACCGTGTATTGAGCTTCCCGCGCTACAAGGCTGCGCTCTCTGGAGATCAGCGGGGAGCAGCCCGCAGGTCTACGACGTTTGTGGCCACACAAATAGGTACATTCTTTTTCATCTTACGTTAGACACCTTTAACGTTTTTTCAGCTGGGAAGCAAAATGCGTCAGGCGTGGCTTCACCTGTTTGGTCCCAACACTCGGGCGAGTTGGACCAGTGGATACGGACATTCGGACTTTTCCCTAATCGGTACGAATTATGATCGTCGGACTCTGAGCTTGCATGTGTGCCGTGGGGTATAACTTTGTCGGACATTATTTCCAAACCAGCATATGAAAAGTTGCTGCCGTGGTGTACCTCAGCGCGGTGACGACGACACTGAGGATTGACAGAGGATGTACGTAGGTAGGATCTTGCTGCGAGAAGTTGCCCACAAGATTTGTTACTCGTCTTGGCTGCGGGTAAATCTCTCGGTCAGGGTTGAGTCTCAGCAGCACAGTTTTAAATTCCCTCCCGAATTTTAACCAAGAGTTGTCATTTGATGGTACATTTAGCAAGCAATTTTGAGTTTTGTTAGACTTTTCACCCATGCGTTTGGGGGCGGGCTGGTGAGAGCCAGAAAGGACACTACACCTCTGGGGGCCGCCAGCTCCGAGATCCCCTGCCAACTCTGTTAATGCTCATTTGAGACATTATCCGTGGCGCACGACGGGGACGTGCAACAGAAGTCCTGCATGAGGTTCCGTAAAACCAGAACAGTGAAGGACTGGCGCCCGAGTGGGGTACGGAGTATCTCCTTATACACCTCACATCAGACTTAACTTTGCCTCATGCCTGTGACCGAAATCACCGCGCCACGAATTTCATTTTGATATTTGAAGTCAGCATGTCAAAACCAATCAGAAATAGTGTACTTAAATTCTGATACAAAAAACTTTTGCAAAATGTATTGACTAGTGTGGTCATATTAAATCCTCATTTAAGTTTTCACTACTATCGTGATCACAATCACCTATATTTTCCACAACATGCTCCAAGGTGTCTGACTCATAGAAACCCTTATGAACAGTCAAGCATAGCTTCTTTACTTACCTTGCACTTATAGACAGATAACAGGAAATTGTTAAGTTCTACCAAAGTTAGATAAATGGAACATTTTTATAAGGAACACAGCCAAGTAACAGCTTATAATGAACAAAGCAATAACTAATTCATGTGTGTGTGTGTGTGTGTGTGTGTGTGTGTGTGTGTGCACGCGTGTGTGTGTGTGTGTGTGTGGGGGGGGTCAAATTATTCAACAAAGATGTACTAATAACAAGTTTATATATATGAATGACTGTTTGTTTGATGTATTATTGGTGCTACTGTCTGTTTTAATGTTTCATGTAAAAAAATTTTTATAAACATGTGAACGCGCACATTTTGATGGTATGATTTAATACAAAGAAATATGAAGAAATAAACTTTAAAATAAAGAAAACAATCACTTACGAATCATCCTTTTAAATTCTCTCTCTCACTCTGTCTCCCCCCCACCCCCACACACATATCACCCCCCACCCCCACCCACACAGAAAGAGAGAGAGGGAGAGAGAGAAAGAAGAGAGAGAGGGAGAGAGAGTGAGAGAGAGTGAGAGAGAAAGGAGTAGTTGATTGAATCCTGGATGATCGGACGTCAATAAACAAGCAAGAGAATCCATTCATATCAAAGAAATCTAGTTTTACTGAAGAATGTTGAAAAGACCATTCACAATTTTTTTTTAATGAGCATATTGTTTCACAGCAAACTAAGGCATAAAGGAAACTTATCACAAGACCCAATGCAGCTACTTACCTTTCAATGATGTCTAAAGGAATCTGCCCTCATCACAAGACCCAATGCAGGTAATTACCTTTCAATGATGTCTAAAGGAATCTGCCCTCATCACAAGACTCAATGCAGGTAATTACCTTTCAATGATGTCTAAAGGAATCTGCCCTCATCACAAGACTCAATGCAGGTAATTACCTTTCAATGATGTCTAAAGGAATCTGCCCTCATCACAAGACTCAATGCAGGTAATTACCTTTCAATGATGTCTAAAGGAATCTGCCCTCATCACAAGACCCAATGAAGCTACTCACCTTTCAATGATGTCTAAAGGAATCTGCCCTCATCACAAGACCCAATGCACCTACTTACCTTTCAATGATGTCTAAAGGAATCTGCCCTCATCACAAGACCCAATGCAGCTACTTACCTTTCAATGATGTCTAAAGGAATCTGCCAGGACAAGATGGTCTCCTGCTGCCTTGCCACAAACATCACCGGAAACTTTTCTGTGGCATTACTGGACGACATGCTGACTCTCACCGCTGTGGTCTGAGGTCACCAGAAAATATTTACTTATATATGGAAAAAAAGTAAATTTTAAACATAAACATATCAGATTTTGTTTCCACCTTTTATCACTCACTGATATCCCTTTTTGGGTTACGGGGCCCTAATGTGGGAATACAAAAATAGATCCACTGCCTACCCAAAAGCATATTGTAAGAGTCAACTAACTGGGAGCTTCCTTTGAAGTCGGATTGCATCTGCCTGAGAGGCAAGGAACCAGCAATCTGCATACAATTGAGTCAGATTTGTAAAACAGATGCACACGCAACACTCAGGTTCTGGAACACGACTGCCGTCCAGAAGTGGATGAACAACCAGAATTTTCTGCCAGAGTTTACAGCTGGTGAATGGGAAGAAGAAGAGATCTCTCGCTGTTGCGTAGACTTTTGATCAACTTCTTACTAAACTTATTCTACTCCTGATAATTACTAACTAAAAAAAATCTTTTTTTAAAGCATGAAAGCAAGAGGTAGACACAATATAAGTGGGAGGGAAACATCAACAGATGAATGAAATTTAGTGTGAGTACACAACCACAGCCAGAAACAGGAAGTACTGGCAATCCACGGACCTTCACTATGGAGAAGGCACCTGATTGTTGGTTGCATTTTGCAGAAAATTCTTTCATGGTATGAGGTAGCCCATTCTCAAATCAACCTTCCTTAATTGCCTCTTATGACATGCATGGTAGGTTAACAGTGTTACTATTCAAAACTTTCCTTGTAAACACCAGTAAAAGCGCTATCATAGCTATTATGTGTTTAATCATCTACGTGATTTTCAACTATATTAGATGCGCAACCTGTATTTCTCTTAGTTCCTCACAGCCATCTCTAGAAAGGTACCTAACACCTAGTTATATAGCTCAAGATGTTGATGTGTTGTCTGACTACTTTTTTGTTTTTGGGAAAACAGTTTTTTTTTTAAAGGTTAATTGCATATTCTTGACAGGACATCACAATGCCAACCCAAGCAGTTTTTGGCTGTTCGGTTTTACTAGGCAATTTTTATGCTCAGTAGTTTGCCACTGCTACTGAACGGTCAGCGCACCAGAACCAACGTCAAAATCAATGCAAAATGACCATGGCCAAACAGCCCACAACTGGTATTAAACGGGCTATTTCAGAATTACGAAGTGTGTTTGCCACATATATGCCACAGATGCTGACCTTTCATTAATAAAAATCCCCCGTGTGGGTTCCGGAGTCCCATTGTGGGGAAAACAAGAATAGACCCACTGCCTCCCCAAAAGCATGTCGTAAGAGTCAACTAATTGGGGAGCTTCCTTTGAAGTCGGAGTGCATCTGCCGGAGAGGCAAAGAACCAACAGTCTGTATTCAAGAGAATGAGATCTGTAAAACTGATGCACATGCAACACTCAGGTTCTGGAGGACTGCAGTTCAGTAGTGGACGAACAACCAGAATTTTCTGCCAGAGTGTATAGCTGGTGAACGCGAAGAAGAAGAAGAATATTATTAAAAATGAAACTTTCAAAATAAAGTCACATAGCTAAATTTGAATAGCATTATATCAGGGAAAGAAATCCCCCCCCACCCCCCCCCCCCTCCCCAGCTGAATGGATTTTTTTTTTTTCATCAACACTCTCTTATAGTGGGTTACATGGTTTGCGCTTATGGGCTCATTTTTGCTACAGGATGGAATAGCAACACCATATCTGTCAAACTACTAATTACTTCCCAGTATTTGCTACTAATTTTGCCGTTAGGCAGGGAGGGCTTTGAGTCTGAGTAATTTCAGCTGCATGTTTATTTAGTGTTGTCGCCACAAACTGTGCAGGTCAGGATTTTATTTTTGTCCCCTACACAATAAAAAGCCATAACCTCAGTCTCTTACATGAGAGCACCTGGTTCTTAATCCTTCAGACAGACGCTACTTGTTCCCATGTCAAATCACCTTAATGAACAAACACTTAGATGAAGTTACACCACACTTGGTAAGTTAGAGAGTATTTTTTCATTCTCTAAAATTTTCATCAGTCCCTGTAACACACAAGGGACGTTTTGTTTTTCAAATGCAAACCTGCTAAAGAGACTATATGATTATGATCATTAACATTTTTCAAATCAATGTTTCATTACATCCTTACTTTCCGAAAGTTGCAAAGAAAACTATTAAATTTATTTTAATGGCCAACCATCATACCTTATTGCCCATCGTGTAGCTGTACATGAACATAATCTGCGAAGTGGCATTCACCGTAAAATTAGAATAAACCGCACCAAATGTTGCATTCTGAACATAAGTCTTCACTGTGTCATCGAAGGAAAGAAAGGTGGCTGTTGTACGTAAACTACCCCGTTCAAAAACCGCTGTCCACAAAAACAAAATCGCAACTATCTTAGTTCCAAAACCGACTTGACAAAAGCTTCCAATCATTTTTGAAATTATTTGTGTTGCAACCGTAAGTTTCAAACATTATGATACTCTTTCGTCACGGTGTAGTATTGTTGTCATTTCTGAGAAAATAAACATCCGTGACGGGTGAGACAAGTGCGTCGGAGGCAAGTTTTTTTCCAGAAAAGTTTTACGTCTGCTTGCTTGTGTACCACTTTTGCCACTTTTCTTTGACAAAAAACATCCAAAACGGAGTCAAAAATATCTAATAACATCTAAATTTGTGTGGAAAACATCTAAAACAAACATCCAAATGGAAAGAGTCACAAATTACATAGCAATTGATATGACTTATTCTATAGAATCGTGTCCTCATCTTTACTGAAGTCTGCCTTACAAGATCCACAGGATAAACTTAGCTTGGATGATGAAGTTAAAGCTTCAGATCCAAAATGACTCTGGTATGCGTTAGCTGTTCCAATTTCTTTTAATACCCAAATCAGGGAGTTAATAAGTGGAGCAGCCTTTTCCTACTCTTATCAAGTCGAATTTTATTGTCAAGATAGCATTTAAAAGGTCCAATTTCATCCTTTCTTAGGTTAGATTTGATAAATTCTCTCCAAATGAAAAAACATCTAGAAAACATCTACCATCTAAACGTCAAAACGCCATCTAAATGCAAGGGAAAACATCTAAATATGGATGTAAAACATCTAAAGTGGCAACACTGGCTTGTGTGTGTATACCTCTGGTCACATGACAGGGCTGATGTTTAAAATACCTCTCAATGGTTACGAAACAATCACTGAAGTGTATTTTATCTAATTGTGATCTTCTTCTTCGGATTCACTAGCTATAAACTCCTGTGCAAAGTTCTAGTTGTTTGTCCACTTCTGGACTTTGTTCTTGATCCAGAATGTGAGTCTTGCGTGCATATCCGTTTTAAAGATCTGACTTATCTGTGTGCAGACTATTGGTTCCTTACCTCTCAGGCAGATGCACTCCGACTTCGAAGGAAACACCCGCAATTAGTCCACTTGTTGGGAGGGGAGTGGGGCACTGGGTCTATTTGTTTATATCCCTAAAATGGGCCCCTGGATACCACACAGGGAATCAAAAAATCAAGAACTGGCTTAATATAAGTAAATGACGAGAAGCTAAACAGAAAAAAGAAAGGGTTGGGCTTGTAGCATAAGCGGATCTAACAACACCCCCCCCCCCACACCCCCGATTGATCCTTAATGTTTTCTTTGTTCAGGCACCGGTGGGGGGGGGGGGGTGCTGAGAAGATCATAGTTTCTTTTGTGTATAGGTACATGGTTAAATCAGCTCCACTAGAGTCGCCACTTTTCAACGTTATCTAGTAACGACTGTTTCGAATAGTCAAGAGGTCGCGATAACAGTGACTGGTTTCAGCGTTGGGGGGCGTTAAGTGACAGCTCATGTCTTAACACCTTGCTTAATCACAGCGACATTATTGAATGAGCTACCAACATTCTCCCCCCCCCCCCCCCCCCCCCCCGTGGTTACGGACTAGTAATTCGCGGACATATCTTGGTGCTCCGCGGAAATATCTTGGTGGTCCGTGGACAAATCTTGGTGCTCCGAGGAATATCTTGATGCTCCGCTGACATATCTTGGTGCTCTGTGGACATATCTTGGTGCTCTGTGGACATATCTTGGTGCTCCGCGGACATATCTTGATGCTTCACGGACATATCTTGGTGCCCCGCGGACATATCTTGGTGCCCCGCTGACATATCTTGGTGCCCCGCGGACATATCTTGGTGCTCCGCGGACATATCTTGGTGCTCCGTGAACATATCTTGGTGCCCCGCGGACATATCTTGGTGCTCCGCGGACATATTTTGGTGCCCCGCGGACATATCTTTGTGCTCTGCTAACATATCATGGTGGTCCTCAGAAATATTCTGACAGTCCTCAGAAATGTCCTAGTAGTCCATGGAAATATCCTCTGGTTCGTGGAAGTGTCGTGATGGTCCAGGGAACCATTGGTGGTTTGCGAAAATGTCCTGGTGGCCCGCAGAAATATTATAGTGGTCAACGGCAATATCCTGGTGGTCCTCGGACATGTCCTGGTGGCCCGCGAAAATGTCCTTGTAGTCCACCCACGGAAATATTCTGGTTGTCCACGAACTACTGGTGGTCGGCAGAGATTCCTTGTGATCCACTGAAAATGTATGTCTAATTGTGGAGTGACCATGTAGTGAATCCTTCACTATACTGCTACATTGATTTGCTAACTTCAGCAGTTGATGTCCTAGTTGCTGAAATTACAAGCTAATATCATCAGATTTAACAAATAAACTGCTATCTATATTTTCTATTGTTGTTGTTATTGTCGTTGTTTTTGTTATTGTTGTTGTTGGTGTTGTTTGCTTTCATTGGTTGTAAACCCTGGCGGAAAGACTTGGTTGTTGGTCATTTCTGTATTTTATCTTTGTTCCAGGGCCTGAGTTCTGCGTTGTGCATCCGTTTTATAGATCTTGTTTACTTGTATGCAGACTTTAGTTCCTTGCCTCTCAGGCAAATATATATATATATATATATATATATATATATATATATATATATATATATATATATATATATATTATATATATATATATATATCTTCTTCTTCTTTTTCTTCTTCTTCTTCTTCTTCTTCTTCTTCTTCTTCTTCTTCTTCTTCTTCTTCTTCTTCGCGTTCACCAGCTGTAAACTCTGGCGGAAGGTTCTGGTTGCTCATCCACTACTGAACTGCAGTCCTGCTCCAGAAGCTGAGTGTTGCGTGTGCATCAGTTTTACAGATCTCATTCTTTTCAATACACACTGTTGGTTCCTTGCCTCTCCGGCAGATGCACTCCGACTTCAAAGGAAGCTCCCCAATTAGTCGACTCTTACGACATGCTTTTGGGGAGGCAGTGGGTCTATTCTTGTTTCCCCCACAATGGGGCCCCCGGAACCCACACGGGGGTATATATATATCGTATCGTCAGGCGACATTATTTATTTAAGAGAAGGAGCTCATGTTAATGAGCTATTATTTTCAACACTTACACTCTATTACTGTTTATTATGCAGAACATGTAGTCAAATGTAACGATAAGACAGAAAAACAATCAATCAATCAATCATCAGTTACCGTCTCCAAACGGTTCTTTGGCCCTATAACGAGAAGAGAGAAATTGGAGATCATCTTGACAACTGGAGAGATCAGTGGGAAAGAAGGTAGATGCAGACCAGGAGAGATGAAGCTGGATGGGCTGAAACGATGGCATGGAGGGATATCATCAAGAGAGCTGTTCCAGGCAACAAGGGATCGCGATCTGTGGAGACGCATGAGCGCCTACGCCAGTTGGCAGGGCACATGATGATGATGACATTGTTTGTTGCCCTCACTGGATAATCAACAAGCTCTGTCTTTTTTTTTCCATGCATGGATTACATAATCTACACCCTCTTAGACTGCTGTTTGTCCATTTCTTAATGTCATTTTCTCACTTGTATTGCAGACTGTCTTGCTCTTTTGTTATCAACTTTTCAATCCAGTCTGGATTTTATAGGAATTATACATATTTTTACGAAGACAGCAAGTGAAATGGTTTTCCCACTTAGAGAGAATACCTTGTGACACCATACCATACAAAGCATACATGGAAAGAGAAGAAGGACGTAGAGCACGAGGTAGACCAAGAACAAGATGGAAGGATAACATCAGGGAAACTCTACAACAGCACGAAGTGCTTATGGTCGAGGCGGCCAGAAGAGCTAGAGACAGAACCTTATATCTTCCTCGACACCCACAGCGGTAAAAGAGGAAGTGAAGAAGAAGAAGAAGTACATCTTTTAACATTATATTGTACATTAGAGTCCTATGTAGTCACTTCATAGTTAGAGCATATTTATGTATGTGTACTTTGTTGCTCTTTATGTGCTGAAGAAGGCTAATCGCCGCAGCGTCCTTTGTTTGCTTATTGTGATCGATTTTGTAAAGCTAACATAAACTATTTGTTTTTTCTTACCCTCTTTTTTCTCTTCCCTATAATTTTTTACTCCTTTAAAAACATCTTTTAACATGGCTGAAGTATTGCCCTCGACAAACAATAGTGTCTGATTTGCCACAAGATGTGTGCCTCGGTAGCGCAGTAGGTAGCGCGTCAGTCTCATAATCACATAACTTAGAGCGATCTGAAGGTCGTGAGTTCGATCCTCACCCGGGGCAAATTCTTTTGCAAGATGGTTTAAAAAAAGGAAAAAAACCGTCGTTAGAAGATTAGCGTTTTTACTTTTTATTTACGTGCGACATTATGTTTTCTCAATGTACCAATTAGCCCGGCTCTCTAGCGTAGTTGGCTAGACCGGGTGACGAACTCCTTGTGGTACGGGCTCACTCCCGACGGGTAGGCAGGAAAGCCACATTTCTCCCAGATTTACGCTATTTACAATGGAATCAAGGCCGAAAGGTTGCGATATCCATAATACCGAGCCTAAGGGTTAACAACTCATCGCTTCTTGATACTAAAACAAACAAACAATGTACGAATTTGCACATTTGCCATTCCCAGGCGTGCTCATTCCCCTGATGCAGCAGTCGCTCCAAGGTTAGTTAGTTGGGTATCCTTTGCAGGGCATCGCAGAATCAACCCCAGCATGTTTTTGGTTGTTGTGGTTTTGCTTACGCCGAGTATTTTGCCATTGCACTCCAAGGTACGTTTACGAATTGTTCCTTATGAGAAGTTAGTCATAGTATCACTATGTATGTGCAAAATTTATGAGTAAATGAATAAATGCACAAAGAACTGACATCAATGCACTACGGATATTACCACACGTACTCCGTCTCCTTCCTTAATATCCAACGAAGAGTCGACATGTTAATAGTACTTTTTTTTCAACCTAAACAGAAGTCCGCCCATGTTTCCCCCCCCCCCTCCCCAGTGTTGAGTGTCTATCATACACTCTACACATACTGTGCTGAATCAGTCTTTCAGTAGAGGATTCACCGTCTGTTTCATTTGATTCAAGAGAGCATTCAT